TTCCGGGACAAACTGTCAGGGTATCATACTAACACCACATCTGGTCCAACATTATACTGTTTCCGGGACAAACTGTCTAGGTATCATACTAACACCACATTTGGACAAACAGTTAATATGTTTCTAAACAAAACTGTACAGGCACCCAATAGCGGACCCAAAACGTTGAGTTGTAGATTTCATAAGCTTTATATATTTTGTTCTTGACAGAAAAATTAAATAAAGTAAATATATATGTTAAGGGCATAAAGTATATACATATGTTATATATGGTGACTTTTCACAACTTGCGACTATAGATTTAGTGTCTAGTGTCAAGCTAACTAGGCTTACAACGTGACGGGTTCGTGATAAAGGTAACCTATCAGCTAAACCGGGGTTTTAATTTCCGTCCCATCAGCCTCCCCGAGAGCCTTGTTTGTCAACCAATCAAATATGCATGAGATATATACCTGGTAGTGCATAAAAAAATTGATTTAAGTAAACGAGGTGTTCATAAGTGTATCAAAACCGGTAAACACAGACAGAGAAAAGACCGTCGGCAGGTAAATAAATAATGTCACGTCATCTTGTATAGTGGAGTGAGGAGGCTGATTAACAAATTGATGATGTTATATCGATGTGAACTGGGCTCAGATCACAGCCGCTACTGCTCTGTGTGAACAGACCTCCCCACCTCCCCTTCGGCTTTTTGAATGTGATAACGGCAAATCAAAATTGAGATTATTTTTTTTATATTTAGTGTTTTATTTTAGGGTGGGGTGTTACTTTATTTTCTTTTGATAAAAAAACCCCTCAATATTTCGGTAATGTCTTTTTTGCTCTAGTTTCTACAGGGATATAGATAGCTACAATAACGATCGGTTCTGACATTGCTCCACTGACTAAAGCGTCATCTAAGACTAACTATAAACTTGTTTATAATAACCTCCTCGTGCTGTGCCTGGCAGGACGCAAAATGGCGGTAACGCCACAAATCGAGGACACGTCAAGCATGAAGTACCACACCGACGGATAGATGGTCAAGTGTGATAACTAGTTTTGAGTAGCCGGAAACGAGATACAGGGTCCAAAGTTATACATGGAAGAATATAGGGCAAAGCACAGGTGACCTGAGATTCTGTTACAGCTATATTTGGACCTAAACTGAGGTGTTCAGAGTAATTTAACGAATTCTCAGTTAACAAGTGGAATATTTTTGAAAATGAGAAAATTAGCTGGACGTATCAGACTCATATATAGGTGAAAAAGTATCAAATTTAAGATTATTTTTCTATATCATATTTTTCTCTTATATGATAGAAATAAATGCCATTCTATATGCCGTTATATTGTACACATTACCGTTATATACAAATATAGATCTATACAACACCGTACGTCTATCTGGAGTTGTGTATTCGAAATGAAGTCGAGTGGTAAACAAATACAGCCTACAGTAAGTACACTGAGGAGACGCTAGCTTTGAACTTATTATTCCCACCAGGTAAAATAGACTTTATACAGGTAAAAACGAGCCTTAGAAGGCCAGTTACGACTCTATGTCAACAATACATATTGTACTGGGAGCCGAAAGATCAACAGCTGGAGCATAATATACCTTTTACGGCAGGTTTTAATTTTCAGGTATACTTGACCTTTTGAGTGGCTTTATCTACAGGTGTGTGCTTGCTTGGAAACGGGTAACAACTCGTGTGTTTTATATATTTATATAAGCATGTGTTATTAAAATCAAAACCTTACTGGGTTATCTCAGACACAATCACGGTACAAACTGATACCAGGTACGGCAAAGTCTATGTGAGGACAGTCAGACACAATCAAACCTGGCATTGTTTACATTGTTTTCGCACCAAAGAATTTTAGTAAGATTTTCTGGAATTTAACTTTCATGAAACTGAATCTCCCTCGAAGAAAAACAATCTATAAATTATCAATACTTTCAATGTCAGGTCTTAACCAACACTGGTATATCTTTGATCATATTGAAGAGAAAAAAGACTGGTGATATATTAATCTATTAATTCAATACTATCAAAAATATTCATAAACTACATTGAAAGAAAAATGGTTTTTGAAAATGTTCTCAAATAAAAACTCATGTGGGGTTGATTTCAGATGTTAAGCGCTTCCCATCCTTCAACTAATTGTCCCTGGGTGGAGGGGGCTGGGGTGGTGAGGCGAGTTGTATTTTTACCAAATTGATGCTGCTCGAAACTCCTAAAACATCTAATACTGACTCTCTTCACATCAGGATAGGACCCCTAAACTGTTTTTAACGTCATTTCATAAACTAATTATTTAAAAAAAAACTTCCTTTTCTTGCAAATGAAAAAAAATATAATATGTACCTTGTACCAAGGTAAAGGCTGTGAAAAACTAAGGCTACCGATAGCACGAGCATACCTTTAGGTCAGATGTTAATAATAAAAATACAAAAACGTAGGTTATCAACAACAGGTATGATTTTTTTCTGTATAATGTGGTGTCTTAAGCCCCGTTACATACGGGTTGTTATATGTTTCAATAACACTCTAAACATCTTCAAAAAGGTTACAAATCATTCACTCGCGATATGAAGACGTTTATTGTACGTTTCTGCTCACCGTAGATCATTACATCAGTTTCAAATGTTTGGTTTAAGGTAGGGTGTGTTTACTTTATGGAAGTATACGCTTCACTAAGATCAATTAATTAGAGACTGATTAAACTGTGTGGTGGGGCTTCATTGTTCAGTAGAACTAGTTATAATTTATCAGAAGATAAGTTATTCTGACACCAGTTATATAAACTTGTGTTTCGTTATGCGTAAAGCTATTTTTAATTGCTGTTTAAATATCTACTGAACTATTACTTATTTAAGGACGGATTTAAGTTAAGGAAGCTTCTTGAAACGCGATTTTATTGAAGTTAAGGAATCTCATTAAATTTAAATGTGTGTTTCGTGATGCGCTAAGGTTTTTTTAATTGCTGTTTAAATATCTACTGGACTATTAGAACGTTGTGTACAATTTATATAAATATCGACAGAAACACGAGTAGGTTGTATAGTTTTTCTTACAGAAATATGAGGCTGTATGTGTTAACCTACTTAAATACAGTTAATATATTCAAATTTAATCTGAATACGCCATCCACCTTGAAATAGAGCTTGAGGATAACATTTCGTTGTTATTGAAAACAAGCTTTATATATCGAAGTTAGGTATCTCTCTATTATAAAACTGTACAACCCATGCAAAATCGTCCAGATGCAATATTCTCCAAATTGATTCATAATTGGCACACATGTTGCTTATGGTAAAACAACCTCTCATGCGAAAAAAAAAATCAAAAATATTGAGCCACTTGGATTTTATGCTACAAAATCTAAAAATAGAATATTGCATAGAAAAATGACTAATTTTCAAGACAAATTAAGGTATTTTGAACGGATTTTTTTCAAAAACTCGAGAGATTAACATAGTTGTGACACTCCATTGGATGAGCTTAACATTGATATCGTATCACTGATATTAATCAATGTAATACCCTGAGATTGGTGAGTGAGACCGGAGTCTTGGTTTAATTAAATTAATTCCACGTAATCTTTATTGCGTCTGTATATTAAAGTACCTTCATGTACAGACATTTGTTACCCTACGGAACACAAAGGGAGAGTAAATATTTTGTTAATCAGCGTCCTCACTCCACTATAAAATATGTTAACAACATCAAAGCTACCCATTGGACGCAAAAGAAAAAAGATACCAAAAATTCAGAGTTTGTAAAATGGTGATGAAGCAGAGAACGAAGTAAAGACCCTCATTAAAAAACAAGAATATGTCACTTGGTACCGATTGATTTGACTGCAGATAGTATGCACTTGATATTTGAATCTTCCTTATTCATTAAACTATTGGTTTTGGAAAGGTCTTTATTACATAATGAAATATTCCGAAATAAATAGAAACCATACACTTATGACTTGTCTGTGTCCATTGACGAGTTTAATTGTATTCTACCTTCAAACCACTTAAAAGAATAATTGAGTTAATGAAGTTTTGAATTGAACAAAACAAATAAGTGTCTATGCTTCAAGTTACCACATCTGTACGAATACCAATTAACAACACTTGTACCCTACAGCGATATTCCTCAACAAGTGTTATATACATTCGATCATATCTTCGTAGGTTTTCAATATTCATTTTCAGTAGATAAGCATGGTATATGGCATGGATATATTCCATAATGGAGCTTGTAGACATCTCCGAACGAAAAGGCTCACTAACAGTGGCACTCCGGCTTTCACATTATAATACACACATTCTTTTATTAATAAATGATATGTCCAGTAATGATAAACTTAATTATGTCTAACCATAAAACAAAAACAGCGAAATAAATATCAATTAAAATCGTTTAAACTTGAGTAAATACAAAATATAGATAAAACATCTCTAATGCTGGTATCTCAATAACATTAATTCAATACTTAAAAAAAGTAGAAAAAAATAAACTAGATTTTAATAATTAACATTTTTATCGTGAATAAGTATAAAGTCATGTTATAAACTAAAATCAATACGGCCCGGACAGTTGCCAGAAGTATCTGCCAGAGAAGATTAAATCTGTAAACTTTTTACGAAATCGGAGTCGGAGTGGGACAGATTTTAAATGTCTGATATCTTTTATTTAGACGATCACCACAGCTATATTTACCTATACAAACCACCTTTACTCTGATTTTATATAGAAACCTTATCAGACGAGCGAATCACTCTGTTTTCCCAACAGATTGTCAGAAGTAAGCGTCAAAGCCGTGTGTGTATATCACAAAGCCACTGACCCGTATAAACCCTCCCTCAATGTTCGGTGTCAACAGTCAAAAGCGGTTCAGCGGACTCCGTAACTTAAACTGCTTCATGTTAAGATCCTAAATTCATGAAAATGAACAGGATTGTAATTTATAATCGCTACGAAGGAGAGTAAGAATGAAAATAGGATGTTTTAGCTTACCTCTGTACAAGCCGAGCTAAGGAATCACTCGTGTTGGTTCTTGGTCCGCCATGTTTGGTAACGGGAGAAGCTAGTGTTGGTATCTAGGAAGTGACATTGTGACGTCACAGAACAAAGTCAAAGAGGTCCAACGACGGGATTTTCTCAGTGCCGTGGCCTGCTCTTGGTCGATCAGTTAAATCACCAGGCTATGGCAGAAGGGTGGTGATCGAGTGTGTTTGTTGGCTAACGAGTAACGCCCGAGACTTAATCGATTTGTATATGAATTATTGAAAGATGAAGGAGTAATTCTGGTGTTTGTAGTTACCCCGTGGGACCTCGTTAAGATTATGAGTGACAAGTCTGTTGGCTATCTTGTCAACTCCGTTATCACAGGCAAGAAATAAAGTTATCAATACACGGATGGGTCAAGGACGACGGTGTATCATACAAAGACATGATTCGGGGAGTTTCGCCCCTTCTTGGTGTATTTCAATTCAGTTCAATTCTGTGCAAGTAGGTCTAGATAAAAAAAAGTTTATGACTATGCAAATTATATAAAGTTTAGTAAATATTTTATACAAAGATTGTCAACAAAACCTATAATAAGTTGCAAGCTTTGTATGAAGGCGTTTTTTATGTTTTGATAAAACAAAAAGGACCATCTCATTCACAAATATTTCGGCTTTCTCTTCTGTTTTATAAATTGAAAGGTTTTTTTTCTTCCCCTCAATATAATGTTTGGGTATTAAGCAGATGCTTTACTATTAAACCCGATAAAACAAGCCATTTTATGTAGAAAAAAACATGAAAAGTTTTTTTTTATTCGCCGTGTATGCAGTTTTGGAAGAAAAATAAATGATATAAAAGCACATGAAAACTATGTAATTTATATGATCGGTCACAGATACTAAGAGATTACAGTATACAGAAGAGATTCATACAATATCATCCAAAGTTGTTATCAGAAATCTATGAATGTTTGCAAAATTGATCAAAATGGCGTTTTCCTCTCAACAGTGGAAGTGAAATTATCTTATCTAATTATACTGTCATCTCAGAAAATATAGTCAGGTTTCTTACTTTTTAAGCATATATTTAAATTAAGTTTTCACCTTTATTGTAGCTTTAACACTTGATATGAAATGTTCTGCAATTAAACTTTTCAAACGTTTATCGGATCAAAAGAAAATATCTTTTTCTTCATAAAACAGCCGAATAAACAGAGATATAGTGCCTCATTTTGTTTACCATATTATTTTTGTGTGATGAAAAAAAATCGGGATAAAAAATGAGACGCGCTTCAGATGAACTAAACAATTTTCATTTTGTTGCACAATGTTTTCGTGATATTGACACAGCATTAATCAACTTGCTCGGCTGTTAAACATGGCGATAGAATGACGTTTTAGTGATATCGATCTTATGTCAAAAAAGGTAAACCTTTAACATTGCATAAAATACACATTTTCGAAAAATTCAAATGTCTGCAAAGTGGTCAATTTTATGACTTGTGAGTAGCGTCAATTCCAGGCTTAAATATATATGTAAAAAAACCCACAAACAAGTCTTCAAAAGAAAAGCGTGGCCCTATGATAAGACATAATATTAAAAAGATGTTTTTACAGATGTGAACAAATTCCTCTCAAAAAGTTTATATTAAAATGTGCAATATTCAACGTTTCTGTTTCACGTTGAATCAAAAATTTCACTCGTAAAGACAAATTAATTTAGTTTATAACCTTTTATCGAGCTGGTACACTGGAGACAATAAATGGCAGAGCTTTCTGAATGAGGTTTTAATCTGTACCTATAGCACTGTTTAAAACATATAAATAGATGGTCATTAAAGAAATCAATAAATCGAACAAAAAGATAGCTCTCATGTAAAAATAAATACCATGCTTATCGTTTAACGGGAAGTAACTCGAAAGTTTCAAAAGTATGCGAGTTTTACAAACCATTTCGTGTGACTTATGCCGCTACCTCAAGTTATAAGTTGCGAAAACCTCAACTCGTGTTAGTATGGTGATATCACCTGTTCAGTTTCGATAGGTGATATTGCCGATTCATTCCGTGAGATCACCCTAATATATATTGGCGATATCGTTAAAATAAAAGAGGCCCATGGGCCTTAACGGTCACCTGACTTATGTAAAAACTGAGGTTATCGATGTTGCCAAATGAAAAAAATATCATTTTGTAACAAAGGTAACTTGAACTACATGCAATGCAAAAGTAGTGTGAAAGATCTGGGTAGTATATGTACTATGTACAAATAGTGGTTCTGTCAGTCAGCTGAGTTATGGTAAAGAACCTTAAGACCCTTCCGTCTATGAAGAGTATTTGATTCTACCATATTTGGATCTTGAGAAAAAGGTTTTTGAAATTTTAGTCAATTCGACCCTTTTTGGCCCCGCCTCTCAGGCTCCTGGGGGCTGGGGACCATATAATTCACAATTAAACTATGGTAATGTTTATCCCTTTCCCAGGGGGAAACGTGAGACCCCATGGTCATGAAATTCACTATTTTGGTAAAACAACTCAAGACCCTTCCATCTATGAAGAGTATTTGATTCTACCATATCTGGATCTTGAGAAGATTTTTGAAATTTTAGTCAATTCGGCCCTTTTTGGCCCCGCCCCTCAGGCCCCTTGGGACTGGAGACCATATAATTCACAATTTTGGTTGAACTTTGGCAATGCAAGGACGCACGACGCACGACGCCGGACAAAAGGCGATCGCAATAGCTCATTTGAGACTTTGTCTCAGGTGACCTAAAAAGTTTATCACTTTTTTATGAACGCTTGAATTGTAACTGCAGTGTGTAAAAGATTAAAGGGAAACTAATCTTCTTACAGTCAAACGACAAAGTTATAAACGGTATGAAAAAGTGGATATAAACGACGCATTGGTGCAATATCTAGTCACTTGTTTCATGTGGAGCTTTTTAAGAAGTAGTCAAAGTATACATGTGCGTGTAATATAACGAGGGTGAGAAAATGTTAGAAAAAAATCAACCCAGGCCGCTGTAACCACTGTTCCCCCCCCCCCCCCCCCCCGTTAACGGAGGTTATATTTTAAATCTTCTAACACAAGTGGAGATAGCAGAGCTGTTACAAAGTTAAGTGGGAACTTATTTTGAATTATGAAAAAAAAAGTTCTTTTCTCCTAGATCTTCTCTTAGATAAGGGTTTTGAATCTACTTTCGGAGTACAAAGATTCTCTACTAGAATAAGAGTTTACTTCCGTTATTATCCCTACTGGCTCAAGTTAAAGTTTATCAAGTTTTTCTGTGAGAGTATGATATAAATTAGTGCACAATATAGTGGTTAGGTGAACCCGAACGTTTTTTTTTTCATCCAGCAATATTTCCAGAACCTTATATGAGACTAGCATCACAGTGATTCTTCGACAGCTGGTTCTACATTTTTGTTCCCTCTTCGTTTGCAGATTGGTTACAGAGCCTCGTGTTTTAAGTAGAGAGCATTCATAAAAGCTGGTATATCTGCTAAACGTGTCCTGTGTGTATGCAAGCTGGATCTGGTGATTTTCTTGTGTTCTGTCATGTCATGCCAAATTCGATCTCTTCCAATGAGAATGGATGCGTCCTTCGGTGGTATGACGTTGCATATAATATTCCTGAACTAACCCCACGCCACACTGCAGTGGAGCCTTCACATCCTGATGGAAATATTGATATTGCTAGTTTACTGAAATGTTTCTTCCATTAATTGCTGAGGTCTTACCCCGAGTACACCAAATTACTCACACGAACCCCCTTACATAATTGAAGTCAAACTTCAACAACTTTCTAAAAGAGAAAAGTCTGAATATATTCGTCTGACATTAATTGTTTTATTCCTTGCCTTCCATGGTTTCACTTATTTAAACCTATGTCAGCAATCGTGAATGGATGGGCAGCATCCATCAGTTTCCCTGCAGTCTAAATGCATACTTCCATTTTACGGTAACTGTGTAGGGTGTGACTGATTCGGAAGCTTTGGTGGTTTTGGCGCCAATCATATCACTTGCACGCTTCGAAGGGAGATCTACCTGTGCTAGGAGTGAAAGTGTAGCATCACTCGGTACACAATTAGGTGATTGGATTTCAGCGGTGGCCCTGATCATGCAAAGTAGGAAATCAGCTTCCTGCATGGAATACCGCAAAATTTCTGTGTTGTCTTTCATTAAAGGCATTAATTCTCCAACATTTAGTCAACTGGAGGTTGATGTGTTTGTATATTTCTTGAAAGTTGTTAATCTTTTGCTTTGTTTGAAGAGATGCAGTCTGTGAAACGTTTAATGTTTCCTCGAACGTTTACAAGGTATTGGAGTCAGAATATATGTCATAGCATGCCTAGCATCAACCACTCAGCCATCTTTATTCCTTTGGTCCTTTGGCGTTTCGATGCTAAAAATCCTGCAACATATGTATGATACATCCAGTGTCACGTGAGGTATAGTCTCGTGAGGTGAATGTTACAGCTTGTCACTGTACTCATTCAAGAGTACAACATCCTCAATGTTGTTCTAGCCTTCATATTTATTGTGTGGGACGAAAGTGAGGTTTTCGAATAGTATGTTCCCAATGTACGCGGTTTTCTCAAACTTCTATTAAGGACGCTTTTGTCGCTTTTGTAGAAGTGTGGAAGAAATATTCAGTTGATGCTCGAACTGATGTCAATTTGGTCATTTTGGAGCTATGGTCGACTATGCTTCTTTCATACATGAAGGGGCAATCGTCGGCGAAATGATGAAAAGCGGATTTCACAGAAGTACGATCGGCCCTATTACCGTACCTTAATGAACTACAAACCATCACCTGCATGCTCAAGTCAGATAATAACATCCACTTCATGTGAGAGCATTGTATAGAAGTGTTCAACTCCCTTCCAAACAGAGGCGATATAAAACGTCCAGATAAGAGCCACTGAATTAATACCGAGAATGACAGACCTGTCCTGTGCATATGATAGAACTTTTAAAAATCATAACAGGAAAATATGATCCTGAGGTGACCAATTTCATTACATGCAATAAGAACAATACTGCTACTTGTAAGGGTGTATAATACAAACTATACAGAGAGAGAACGCGCCTAAATATAAGAAAAAAACTCCTTCCGTCACAGAACTGTTGATATTTGGAACAGTCTACCAGTTGAGTGTATCACGAAGAACTGTTAAATCATTTGAAACTTGCCTCGTCCACCACTGGAAAAAAAACAACCGATACGCTATAATTATAGGGAACCAATTCTAATCCACCTGTTATTTAAAATTGATTGAAAACTAAGAACACATGTAATAACTTCAATTGGCAATACTTAATCTGCCATTTATAACCACTTTGAGGAGATATGTGCATGATGATGTCATACTTATTACATAATAATTTATTTATTTTTAATTGTACACAGCTGACAGTAGAGGATTTTCAAGTCCTATAGTCAGAATCAAACCTGTGTATCTGTGTTATATCACGGACTAAATCCGTGGTTATATCAAATTACTCCCAGGAACCGGCGATGTAGTGATCTAAATTATATCTATTATTTTTAGGCCTAAGTAAAGCATTGCATTAGAAGATGGAAGAAATGATGTAGCGATTTTTCACGACACTTCTTTGTATCCATCTTGAAATGCAGTTTCTTATACGAAAATGAAATATAAATGATTTGATATATCAATCTTCGTTGTGTGCTACCTTAGATAATATATGCTCTACATGAGTTACTGCCCTTGTTGACGTGATAAACAAAAGGTACCGTTAATATTAGAAATTCCGCGGGAATAGCTGGCACGGTAAATGCATTGTCTCTGACTCTCATGTTGCTGCCAGTAACTGCCTTGCTCGTCTTATTCTTGGTGAGTATTTCACTTATGATGGCGAGTTTCGTCGGTACATTCTGAGATGGAAACTCTTTGTAATAATTCAACTTTCACTTCACGTTGAGTGTTCGATACGCATGAGTGCATTAGGCTTACGTGTCGATTTTTCCTGCGAACTTGATTTTAGTGGACTTGACGGTTATTTTTCGTACCGAAGCCTCTCAGTTGGCCTTGTATGTTTGTCTACCGCAATGTGAAGGTATGACTAAAGTAACGTCATATATAAGAAAAAAATATAAATAGTGATTATAGATTTAAGATTAGATTACACGGTAGGTAGTGACCTTACTTATATTATGAACTGATGTTATTTCACGAATCAAGTAGACTGTCAGTTCTTTTTCTTATTGAAATGCAGTAGACTGCTACAAAATGTATGATGTCTGGGGATATTTTTGAATATGCACTAACTTACAGTGCAATATGGACAAAGGGGAGCAACTCTTCCGACCTTATAAAATTCATCATTAGAATTTTAACCTATTATCAACAGTCAGGAGATGTACAGCGAGTCTGTTAAAGTGTAGCTTTCATAGTAGCGACAGTCTGGTCTGGGTACTTGTGACAGCTGTTTAGCAGGTAGCTAAATTGGCGTTACTTAAGGAATGATTTTTATTTTTTCAGCATTTATGAGGTCATAACAACAATGGGTTTATGGACATATTGAATGAATCGCGTTAGCGATTCATGTAAAATATGTCCAAAAACCCATTGTTGTTATGACCTCATAAATGTTGAAAAAATAAATATCATTCCTTATATTTACATTGACGAATCCTTTCAGTGGATCGATATAACAACGAATAAAACAAATAAACAGGGTTTGTTCCTGCTTATACACGGGTGCAACGCAGTGGCGAGAACAGTGTTTTTTCGCGGGGAAATGTGACACTATCGTGAGAGATCTTAGCAACCGTCAACAACAATAACACAACAAAATGTAGTTCCATATTCAATGTTTATTTGTAGCACAGGACACGTGAATACGTGGATATTTCACAAAGCACAGTTCAATAATATTTTAAGATGTAAGAATTAAGCATCTAGGTCGGTCGTTCCGAGTGAGTAGTTTTTGTAGTGTATTACTACGCAGTGTGATCAGGTTACTATCAGTTCCCACGTGCTGAGATTCTATGAACACCTGTGTTATGCATTTATGAATGTAATTTTTGTCAATGGGTCTAAGCATACAGAATGTAAATATATATATATATATATATTGTTATACACATAGAATTTCAAATTTCTGTGGTTAAAGTGTACTTTTTGAGTTTGTAGCACTGTATGCCACACAGGTTTGGATCCCAATCTGTCCATCAAAATCAATTTCTTCCAACATCTGTGACGCTGAACAGAATCTCCTCAAACGAAAACATTTCATTAAATTGGTGGGGATTCAAAATTGGAAAAATGGAGGAATCTTAACGGTGTAGGGGGTGGATTAAAGAAAAATATATGGCCATACTTCTTAGTGACTTCTTCTTTAGAAATGTGAGATGGATGTCAACCATTTTTGTTCAAAGTGCTTATACACGGGTGCAACGCAGTAGCGAGAACAGTGTTTTTTTGCGGGGAAATGTGACACTATCGTGAGAGATCTTAGCAACCGTCAACAACAATAACACAACAAAATGTAGTTCCATATTCAATGTTTATTTGTAGCACAGGACACGTGAATACGTGGATATGTCACAAAGCACAGTTCAATAATATTTTAAGATGTAAGAATTAAGCATCTAGGTCGGTCGTTCCGAGTGAGTAGTTTTTGTAGTGTATTACTACGCAGTGTGATCAGGTTACTACCAGTTCCCACGTGCTGAGATTCTATGAACACCTGTGTTATGCATTTATGAATGTAATTTTTGTCAATGGGTCTAAGCATACAGAATGTAAATATATATATATATATTGTTATACACATAGAATTTCAAATTTCTGTGGTTAAAGTGTACTTTTTGAGTTTGTAGCACTGTATGCCACCCAGGTGTGGAGCCCAATCTGTCCATCAAAATCAATTTCTTCCAACATCTGTGACGCTGAACAGAATCTCCCCAAACGAAAACATTTCATTAAATTGGTGGGGATTCAAAATTGGAAAAATGGAGGAATCTTAACGGTGTAGGGGGTGGATTAAAGAAAAATATATGGCCATACTTCTTAGTGACTTCTTCTTTAGACATGTGAGATGGATGTCAACCATTTTTGTTCAAAGTGTTCTCAAGTGTTGAGGATTCAAAATTCTACAAATAAAGCCCCTAGGGACTGAATGTGGGGCTACTAGATATGTTATTGCTCTGGAAGATGAAAATATATATGTCAGCTGTATTGGACTGAAAACATTTTCAGGTGGTGGGGATTTACAATTTTGCAAATGGAGTGGCTGGCCTGTAAGGTTGAGGGACTGCAAAAAGGGGGTTATAACTTGATGCAAAGCCTCTTAATCAATTAACTCATTCACCCCTGAAATTTCAAAATGAACTCTTCCAACCTTTAAACTTGAAGAGTTCAAATGTGTCTTCAGGGGTGCATGAGTTTAGAGACGAATGTAAGGAGACAGTATCCAAATCAGATCAGTACCCAAATCAGATTACTTTTTGCAAAAATACTTATTAATCAATTAACATGTCAACAAATCAGTTAGAACAATGATGTAGCTTTAGAATAGATACCCATGCATTTATTGTCTACAGATGATTAGTTTTTAAGTTCAAATAGCAAAAGAAAACGTAATTCAAACTTCAATGTCAGTGTTTTGATCACGTTTAAAAAAAATGGCGGGTGTGACGACTGTATGCATTCTATTTTAGACTATAGGAATAAAATCACACTAAAGAAATATTTCATTGTTAAATATAAATTCTTAATGCCTAAAGGTCATGATAAAATGTTAATATGCTGACAAAAAAATATTCATTTGAAGTGTAAGATACTGCAAAATTCAAACCTTGATCCGATTTGGGTCATGACATTCGCTAAAAACCAGAAATGCTGATTGGTGACTTTAGAGCGTTCTATGAATATATCAAGAGAGCCCTGTGTGCTAATTTCGTTGGTAAGAACACCCATCGATATTCATCCTTTGATACAACAATAAATGAATATAATTCCTTCTCAGATTTTTTAGTGAATGAATAAAATGATGGTTTGGTGATCCGATTTGGGTACTGCCATCTTATCCTACCAGAAATGCCGTTTAGAAATGGTTGAGATCCCCATACTATAATCATATATACAATTGCTTTGTATAAAGAGGAGATAAATAAAAATATGCTTTCAGGTTTGGTCCAGGGTCTGGTTGTAACCCTGAAGACTTGGTCCCTGCATGCGACATAATTTTGTAAACCATTGAGATCCTCATTCGATAACCTTATAAACAAAATCATGCTGTCAGAATTACATGACTCCTGGTCCATTGTCTGGCACTGCCTATAGGGTCTTCAAAGATGGGTCGCATCATTGAAGCAGTTGAGATCCCCTGCTGGGCCACAATGTGGAAACAGTTCAAATCACGACCCTAGTGTAATCATAGTCATTTGTTTGGCATGGAATGACAATTTATAGATATGCTGTACCAAAATTGGCCTCCAGTTTTACCCTTCCCATATAGACTTTGTCTCTGGATGATAACAAAGTCACGATCTCTACCAGGTAACCAAACTACAAATATATATGATTGCTGAGTACGAAGAGAAAAATAATCTGTTAGTGTTACCAGGATTGCCTGCATTTTCCATCCCCACTATTTACAACTTTAGAAACCTATTGATTGAGATCATTATAATGGAATTGCTGCATTTGCCAACTGGGGATACAAAAATATGACATTAAAATTTAAGTTAAGTTAGAATTGTTTTTTTGAAAAATCCATCCCACTACCACCAACACCCCAAAGATATAAATTGTTGTAACTATTCCTTTCAATAACTGGTCTGTTGTTGTCTATAATAAGAAAGAAAGATGCTTTTCATTATTTCTTGAACAGTTTCCCAGGGTGGTGAATAAATATCTTATCTCACTTTCTATGTTATACTCAGTCCTTTGGATTCAAGACAATTTTTTTTGCACCTGACAAAATTTTGACTGGACATACCTGTAATATCATTACGATATGGAGAGTACCATCTGTCCGACATACATCTCATACAAGGGAGAATGAGATCCAACATCTGCTACTGGTTTGTTCAGTGAAGTTCAGCGTTCCTCAGTTGATGGTTTCCGAAATGGAATTCACTAGTCTGGCCATAACAGCAGTCGGAATTCACCTGGCCATAACAGCAGTCGGAATTCACCTGGCCATAACAGCAGTCGAAATTCAAAATAAGAGATGACCAGACAACATCAAAAGGGGTGTTTCAGCAACTTAAAAATAGTTTACATGTTTCGGCCAACTACCGGTAGGTTAGTTGTCATCAGAACCAAACTCATGGGCCAAAACATGTAAACGGGATTAAAATTACAGAGACTCCCATTTTTAGCTTACCTGGCCTGAAGGTGCGGCGTCTGTCGTTTGTCCGTCGCCTGTCCGTCGCCCGGCATCAATATTTTACTTTAAACAACTTCTTCTTAATAACCACAAGTCCTAGGGTGAAGATATTCAGCCAGAAGCAAATTGGGATGAAGGGCTACCAAGTTTGTTAAAATAAATTACCTTCACCCATATTCAAGGTCACAGGGGTCAAATACGTTAAAAACTTTAAACAACTTCTTCTGAATAACCAAATGGACCAGGATGATGATATTTGGTCATGAGCATGCTGGGATGAAGGGCTACCAAGTTTGTTCAAATGAATAACCTTGACTTATTTATATTCAAGTCACAGGGGTCAACTAAGTTTAAAAATTTAAACGACTTCTGAATAACCATAAGGCCTAGAATGTTGATATTTGGTAAAAAGCGTGCTTGGATGAAGGGCTATCAAGCTTTTTTCATTTGAATGACCTTGACTCACTTTCAAGGTCACATTTAGTCAAATATGTATAAACATTTAAATTACCTAATCTCAATAAACAAAAGGTCTAGGGTGGTGATATTTTGCAAGTTGCATGCTGAGATGAAGGGCTATACAGTTTGTTTAACGTAATGACCTTCTTCGACTTTCAAGGTCACAGGGGTCAAATGTTTGAAAATCTTTTAACAGGTTCTTTTGAATGACTTACATACACAGTAGTTGTAAATACTGATATTTTGCCCTTAGCTTTATTTTAGGTTAATTTTATAGGCTACAAGTGTGAGATTAATACCAGGTGAGCAATGCAGGCCCATTGGGCTTCTTGTTATGTTGTCTTGTCATCTCATTTTGTGAAATCTGTCAATATGTCTGTTCATCAATCATAGCATTTCCCACTAGTCAACTTATTTAAAAAAAAAGTATTTTATGAAAATTAGTAAACATAAGTGTGGTATTTGTCTTATCACGAAGAATTGCTCTAAAAGTTGACATTTAGTGTGCACTGTTCATCATATGATTATCATATATATATGCATATTGTATATAAATTGTACATGCAGCTTTCTATAAACAGATCAGAGCACTGTCAACTTGTTTACATAATACATGTGTGTACTAATTACAAAGGTCTTTTCTTTGCCTTTCAGTTTAACCACACACTGTGTACTTGTATAACAGGAATGTCAGTTACGCACTACGACCTTGGATAAGATGCTGGCATGAGTGTTCGCTGATGTGGAACCGTCAACACTAGAGTGACTGACAGTCTTGTTATAGACTAAAATTTAACAAGTAGGAAAGCACACACAGGTACGTGGAGTTTTTACCTGTACAGTTCCTCGTCGCTCGTTCAAATGTTGGCTTAATTAACAGGATTCACCTTTTTATTTCCTCATCACTCGACACGGAAAAGGTAAACAATGTTCACCTGTTAACGAGTTGTTAATACATTTTATCATCACATGTGTTTACAGGTTTTTCTATCTTCTTAGTGAATTAATTCAACCATGTCTATCTCCCGATTTAAGTAGGTTATTTTATGGGGCAGTGGGGATTTATCGCTGGTGGCCAGGCAATCTGTAGACATTTAATTCATTGTGTTTACGGAGGTGGTGTGTTAGAATCAGATATATACACTTGTAAACATCTACCAGATTAATACAGTGTTGTCGGTCTTATTGATAAGAAATTGTATAATGACAATCCAGAGACGTTGAAAAGGAAAATTAAATGGCACGCCTTTTACTGAGTTCAACACGAATCAAAATGTATATTGGAGCTGGCACTGCTATTGGAAAGTCGGCATGATATATAACTTCCCCATTGCAATTGAAGGTTTTTTTCCACATTGATATTAAGTTTCAAAAATAAAACAGCAATGGAAAGAAATTTAAATGTTACTTAAGACCCTGATCTGTGAATGAAGATTACTGTAATCATTCTTCTTTGAAGGATAGGAAAATGATGGTATGATAAACATTTTAATTATTCCTTTTTTTATGGTGATCCATCTTAAATGTCGATGTACCTGTGTAGTTCACTGACTCAGATAGCTGTGAGGATAGTGTACCTGTGTATTCACTGACTCCGATAGCTGTGAGGATAGTGTCCCTGTTTAGTCACTGACTCCGATAGCTGTGAGGATAGTGTTCCTGTGTAGTTCACTGACTCCGATAGCTGTGAGGATAGTGTTCCTGTGTAGTTCACTGACTCCGATAGCTGTGAGGATAGTGTCCCTGTTTAGTCACTGACTCCGATAGCTGTGAGGATAGTGTTCCTGTGTAGTTCACTGACTCCGATAGCTGTCAGGATAGTGTACCTGTGTAGTCACTGACTCCGCTAGCTGTGAGGATAGTGTACCTGTGTAGTCACTGGCTCAGATAGCTGTGAGGATAGTGTACCTGTGTATTCACTGACTCCGATAGCTGTGAGGATAGTGTTCCTGTGTAGTTCACTGACTCCGATAGCTGTGAGGATGGTGTACCTGTGTAGTCACTGACTCCGATAGCTCTGAGGATAGTCTACCTGTGTAGTTCACTGACTCCGATAGCTCTGAGGATAGTGTACCTGTGTAGTTCACTGACTCCGATAGCTGTGAGGAAAGTGTACCTGTGTAGTTCACTGACTCAGATAGCTGTGAGGATAGTGTCCCTGTGTAGTTCACTGACTCTGATAGCTGTGAGGATAGTGTACCTGTGTAGTCTCTGACTCCGATAGCTCTGAGGATAGTGTACCTGTGTAGTTCACTGACTCTGATAGCTGTGATGATAGTGTACCTGTGTAGTTCACTGACTCCGATTGCTCTGAGGATAGTGTACCTGTGTAGTTCACTGACTCTGATAGCTGTGATGATAGTGTACCTGTGTAGTTCACTGACTCCGATTGCTCTGAGGATAGTGTACCTGTGTAGTTCACTGACTTCGATAGCTGTGAGGAAAGTGTACCTGTGTAGTTCACTGACTCGGATAGCTGTGAGGATAGTGTACCTGTGTAGTCACTGGCTCAGATAGCTGTGAGGATAGTGTACCTGTGTAGTCTCTGACTCAGATAGCTGTGAGGATAGTGTACCTGTGTAGTCTCTGACTCCGATAGCTCTGAGGATAGTGTACCTGTGTAGTCACTGACTCCGCTAGCTGTGAGGATAGTGTACCTGTGTAGTCACTGGCTCAGATAGCTGTGAGGATAGTGTACCTGTGTAGTCTCTGACTCCGATAGCTCTGAGGATAGTGTACCTGTGTAGTTCACTGACTCCGATAGCTGTGAGGAAAGTGTACCTGTGTAGTTCACTGATTCTGATAGCTGTGAGGATAGTGTACGTGGCAGTAGAAATTAATTTGACTCCAGCATTAGGATTGAAGAGCAGTTAACTTGTTAGTGTTGGACCTCTGAAGTGGTCTCATAAATACATCTTTTCCATGTTTTGATAAAAATTCTTGTGAAAAATATCAAAGTTAGAATTAAAATGAGGAACCATTTAATCAATGAAATATTGATAGGTTTTCATCTACCAATGAAAGTCAAGGTGTAACTGGTATGTAGATGTAATGTTGAGACTGTCGCAATTTGAACGAATGACAAAGAAATTTAGAACAAAATGCCATTACCAGTGAAAAATTGTCACCTGTTTTATAACATGTATATATATCTTACACAATCTAGTGTACAAAAAATCTCCATTCTTATAGGTATCTAATATACAATCTTATCAAGCATGTACAATTACTCACATATACTGAATATAGAGTATACAAATTAACCTGGAGGTATGTCTTGAAGAGTTTTACTAGTAGCCTGTGACCTGACCGATATTTTCAAAGTAAAAGTATTGAAAATTTTCACTAGAACTGACATAAAATCTACTAACTAGCTTCCCGCTCGTTTTACTCGGATGTGCTGTCGTGTTGTTGGGATGATCAAATACCGGTTTAAGAGTTAGTTACCCACCTTGTCAACTGATAGAAATTTGCAAAATCATCTTACTTTCTAATAATTAAGATTATCAAAGCGTAAGTTGTCAAATGTTTCATCTTTAGGTAACCACTCTAAATTTCTGCACAGTTAAAGTATGGATAACTTTGGTAACTTACTGCCCTATTGCCAATATACAGACATATGTTTGATAAAGATAACCAGTATTTGTACTGTAGTAGGGGTTCGTAATGACATTAATGCATGTTGAATGTTTTTACTTTCCCTGTACATCAGTGATTGTACCTTATACACATGTACAAGTACCAACTCTCATTTCTGTAACGGAGAGAAAAACTTTCATCTCGACAAGAGTTCAGAAAACCTGCCATTAAGCATATAGCCACTTTGAACTGTGATTGTTGAATGCCAATGGAAATAACTTGCTCACAAAAAGGAATTTAGATTGGTGAGGTATTCCTCTTGAACTTCTTTTACAAAACACAAAAGACACTTCAGATTGCACTGACAAATTTGACATTACAAGGGAACTTTGTTAGCTTTTTTAACTTTAAACAAATGACAGTTTATCAAAATTCATCATCAGTAGTGGGTTGAGACAAAATGTTCATTATGCAGACTTTTATGTTGTCATGTGCCATATCTAACACTTTTCATTGCTAATTTTAAGGTAGTAATTTGTGGAGCATTTATCCAGTTATCGGGACGTGATATACACATGATACAGGATTTCCTATGTGATACATGTGTCACCAAAATACCATCATACCAATACATACCATTTTGGTATTACAGCCCTTCTCTATATGAAGTGTACTTGATTATGAAGTGTAAGGTTGTGTACTTGTTTATGAGGTGTGAGGTTGTGTATTAATTGCCAACCGGATCGCAGGCTTAGCTACAATCTAGCGATAATGTCAAGTGCAAATTTAAACCATGAACCAGAGTGCTTTTTGTTAAGTATATGCTTAAAGTGTGTTTAGCTTGGTACAGAGATTTAAATAAGTTTGTAAGAACTTGTACTGTTAACTTCCTATTGTTCTGGGGTATATTTAAAGAAAAAAATGAAGATAGAGTTTTCATTGCTAATAATTCAGTATAAAATTTCTGATATATTCTTTTGAATTCAAGCCAAACGATTGTGAAATTAAAGAATTTGAGATGTATTGACTTACCATTTTGTATAAAGGTGTAGAATACTAGTGATTAGCTGACTCGATCGCTCTGAAGGTTTGCTGGTTTGTAAAACCAATATATTGATTTGGAAATTCAAGCTAACAACGTTTTCAATTGAAAAAACTTCTGAGAGATCGATCCTGGTACACAGATTTAACAGAACAATTTAGTTGGTGCTGTGTATCGGTGCCGGTGTGTAGGAGAAGAGAGGTGTATGAGGGTATATGAATACTTCGTGGTGTAGGTGACATACTTGGTGTTGGAGGGTAAACAGTAGGACCAGGGTACAGTTCCACCCGAGTTGACTGACCATTGAGGAGATATGGGTGAGTCGAGTGTCTGTACGCTGTCAGACGGGTAGTGTGTGTGTCTGTCCAAGTGTATACTTTTGTTGTGGTGACATAAACGTGTGTATAAACAGATCATAAATCAATCTATTTGTCACCAAATACCACACAAGTGTCTCTCAAATCATCTGATAAGTCAGATCCTTCTATCTAAGTGAACTTGGTACTCTATAAAGCTAGCAGCCAAACAATGGTTTAAGATTCCACTCAGCACTTAAACCATGTGGACAGTTTAAAGTAGTAGACATTTGTTCAGCATGTCCGACATACTGTAGAGCCTACAGGTCTGGGTGTTATTTTTCGCAGTGAATCTTAATAAAGACACTTGTATGTTGCTGAAGAAAATTATGAGGCCTTTAGAATAATTTTGTTGTTACAGAGCCAAAAATGTTGCTCCTTTTAATTATGAAGAAAAAGTATACCTGCACTTGTTTTGAATTTTATCTTTATGATAAATATAACTTAGGGCAGATAATGAGGTACTGCAGTGAAACAGAATGGTGAAGGGACGGGACTGTTGTAGTCTGACACCTGAAGTAAAATAGTTATCCTCTTATAACCATAAGTGTCCCATTGTGTAACACACAATAGAGAAAACACAATGTTTAATATCACACTGGTCATACAGAAGATTTATCAGGATTTGAGGGAGGTTGCCAGTCATTGTGAAGCTATAGCTTCAATGTTAAAAAAGGGTGTAGAAAGGTTTTACAAATGCAATTATTTAGGACACAACTTTTCAATATGTTTCCTCTTAGTTTTTGTTTATCTCAATTGCTGTGAATCAGAAATAATGAATATGACAAAATTAAAAAAATAAATATTTTTTGTCCCTAAATCTAACAAGGCCTTGATCAGCTTTACAAGCACTGTAAGCTCCATAGTGTATGTGTAGACACGCTGTGTATGTCAACAGTAGTACCGTTCTCATACCTGGTCGGGACTGTTTACATACACCTGTGTTGACAGGTAGCTAAACGTGTAATCACCTGGACAGGTAAGTGAGATACTCTAAATAACTATTTACGAACTCTCTGTCCTAATGGGTCACTTTGGTTGATGGTCAGTCAGTTCACTTAGTGACTGATTGACCGTACAGTTGAAGGCAGTGACCTGACGTAAATGATCTGATTACTGTACAGTAAGTATGAGTATAACAGGATGCTGTACATGAGAAATTTCAATAGATTTTGTTAACACAATATTATACTTTGAATATATTTGTATACTGCTAAATTTCTCAATGAATTATTCATTGAATGACAAAATCTATTTATTGAGTGCAATCTGTCCTTAGATATTTAAACACAAGACAGTTTGATTTAATCTCCCAATAGAAATCAAATGTATAATATAATAGTTTACGCAGATTTGAATAGACAGGTAAAATAACTTTAGAGCTGTGTTTGGATATATCAACATTATTAGTTGAATTAAAAAATAAATTGATTACTTTATTACTTTAAATCTTATTATTAAATCAATTTAACTGTATATTGTATTTTTTGTCTGTTTCCATTAAAATTCCTAGTAAGAATTTCCGAACAACTTTGATTGAAATTTTATTTAGATAGCTATTGGTATGATTGTACTGATTATCATTCACTGATAATTTGTTTAGTTCAAGAAAAAAACTGGTTTTGGTGGTCATATTATGCCTGAGCACTGATAGGCTCACTTTGAATTTAGATTAATTATTACGATTCCTACAGACGTATGGTCGTAACAGTCCAGACATGTATACGTGTACCTTACAATGGCACCGCAGTACTTAGGTATTCTGATTTAAATCTGGAATGATTGATCTGTTGTAAATCCACCTGGGTATGTACAGGTGTAAACAAGAACATGTACCTACACATTATCATATGTAACGCTAGTGTTGCAGCACATTTTGTTTTCACATAACCTATATCTTTGATGTTTCCTTAACTTCAGCCATTATAAAGCTTGCCAGTCGCTCCTTAAAAGCCAGTGCTGTGTTCAAACTTCAGTGTAAGCATTTTGTTTCATGTTCTGAAACTGTTCCAGTTGAAGCTTTATTTGTGGTGCTGCTTATATTTAGTTTGTTTGTGCTTTATGTCCTATTGACAGCTATGGTAATTGAAGGACGTGTCAGGTTTTGGTGGTGGAGGAAAACCGGAGTACCTGGATTAAACCCAGAGTAAATCACCGACCTGCCGTCAGTACATGTACTTAGTAACTGCCCCCTGTACTGATGTAGGCCTGAAAAACACAACCCAGTGGTTGAGGGCTATTGATCATAGATCTGGTCAGACACCTGAAGCACTTGGCCACCACTGCCCCTTGAGTGTTGCTGAGCCTGACAGAAATGTCTTACGACTAAATATTACCATGTTTGTAGTAGGTAGGACAACACCTTGGTATTATCGAATGTTTCCTTTCCTGGTTCAATCACCTGTGCAAAATTTACAGAGGAAAAATCAATGTTCTCTGCTCTAGCAACAGCTTGAACAGTTTATCACTGCCAGGCGTGATTCACACTTGAGACTATAAATTCCCTGCTTTCACAGAAATCAAGTGTGTAAATCACTTTGCTATGATTCTAACTATGGACTGTAATCCCATGCATTGAAACCGTTTTGGATTGTGTCTGGTATTGTGTTTGAGGAATCCTGTTTACTTGTGGTAATGTAATCCTAGAATTTTTTGTTTCAATTCAGTCAATAGTAGTATTATATTTTCTTTGCATGTCTTTGCTTAATATAACTTTTCCAAATATATCCAAATAACCAATTCCCCCCCAGACTTTGTTGCCAGTCCATTTTGATATTTATATTGGAGGCTTAGAGAAGGAGATTTTTTACAGTATGTTTTAAAACTTGTGCATTAGAAGTCCAAGGAAAGGTTTGTCTTGATATCAAAGTGTACAATTCTTCTTGCTGTTCACCCTATTTGTCACCAAATTTCCAAAATGAAAGAGCAGCACCACCTATTGGTATTTCAGTGTTGTCAGACCAATCTATACCAACTTCCTACACGGTAGTCTCACAATGCCAACTAGGGACTGGTTTAATGTTAAATGTGAGTTTGTGTGTAATGTTTCAACTGTAATTATCTCCCTGGTTTCTGTTGTGTTACAGAGGTCAATGGGTAATGCTAATAGTTCTGGAGGAGGTTTGGTTGTCGGAGAAGATCAGGATCTTCCTGAAATTTATGAAGTTTTGACATACGAGGATGATGGTTTTGGTGTAGAGGAAGATGAAGACAGTCTAGAGGAAGAATACAAAGAATGTGACGACGAGGGAGACTCCGACGGAGAGGAGAGAGAGTCTAAAGGAGAAGAGAGAGAGGGAGAGGAAAAAGAAGGGGATACACAGGCTGATCAGGGAGAAAAACAGCTCCTAGAGGATCAGCAAGGAGCGAAACAGAAACAACAGCTCACCAAGGAACAGCAAGATGTCAACAGCAGAAAGGATAAGGTATGTTACTGTAGATAATACAGAGGCTGACGTTTCTTTCAGAGCTGAGTTCAGTAGTCTTTCAATGTAAACACAGATTATATATGAAGTCCAACCATTCATATACATATAACCTTGTCTGGACAATTACTAAAAATATGTAAATGTTAGATTCCAATGACAAGAAGGACATAAATAAACTGACAAATTGAGGATGGTGTACTGGAATCCCCAGTTTGGCGGATTGCAAATTTATGTTACATTTGTGAAGCTTCATTGTCACATTTACCTAAATAAATGGCAAACTTTCCAAATTTTTGAAATTTCCATGGGAGAGATTCTACATGCTCAAAATTAAAACATTAATGAAATGTATATGCCCCCTAGGGACAAAATAACCCTTTATAAAGACATAATTTAAGTTGTTATTTCGGATGAACTCATTAGATCTTAGAAAATAGGAGCAGTTTAGCAAATTCACTGGTTGAAAATACTACATTTAAGAGTCAAATATCGGGAGACTCCCACCTAAAAAGGGAGGGTTGGCAAGTATGAAATGGAAAGAAGCCTTTTCATGTTGGGCTTAAAATGTAAAATTAAAGTTCATGGTAATTTAGTACTCAAAATTTCATTCAGGGATATTTATTTTGCAAGTTAAGCTCACCTGGAATGAAATAGGTTTATGTCATAGTGCCATGTCACAGCAGTCAAGTTTGTTTAAAACTTTTCATGACAACCTCAATAGAACTAGAAATCCAATAGTCATGATATTTGGTTTTAAGCTTTCAGATGTAAGCCCTAGAATGGTGACATTTACTTTATACTTTATAGCTTGGTTTGGTGAGGGGTTCTCAACAGTATTTAAATCAATTTACTTGACTTAAGGTCAAATGAATCAAAATGTAGCTAAATTGTCTGGATAAAAGGCTGTAAAATTTGTTCAAATAGCTGACCCTGACTTGTTTCAAGGTCATGGAATTAGACGTATTGACAATTCAAAATAACTTGTTCCGAAGTCATTGATTTGTTGTGGTGAAGAGGTGTCGGGATGATTTTGACTGATATCAAGACTATATATTTAAAAGGTGTTAAAAATTCAAACAACTTGTCAGGACCTTCAGAATTAAAGTTGATACAGGCCACTGGGGCCTATTGTCTACACCCAACTTAATCTGATTTCTCACAGATATTACTCAATAATAGTAAACTACCTTAAGTCGATTGTAAGTAAGCAGGATTGCTTCTGATTTGTCTGACTGCACACTTATTGGCAGGGAATGTTTTGTCCTATTGTAGTACACTTAGTGGCAAGGATTTGACAGAGGCTTTTGTTTCTTGTAATTCCTCATCACTACTGAGGTGTATGTCTGACATCTGTTACACCAGCTTTGTATGTATTTACAGGCTGTCAGTGGCTACATCTATTCTGGGATAGACCCCACCATTGTGTCACGTCTGATTCGTGAGGTGGAGGAACTACTCACACATGTGACTAACGAAAACTTCGAAGCGGCCCAGAATGCAGCACTCATATTGAAGGAGACCAATTTAGGTAGGTACAACAGACCAGCCTCGTTCTGGATAGACCACATACTAAAGGAGGCATGCATGAGGTAAGTATAACAGGCAGCCTCATTCTGGATAGACCAGGTACTGAAGGAGGCATGCATGAGGTAAGTATTACAGGTTACAGGTAGCCTCATTCTGGATAGACCAGGTACTAAAGGACACATCTATAGGTAGGTAAACAATGTCACTATTCTGGATAGGACACACATTTTACTAATGGATGCAAATTTACATAGAGAAACAAGGTCAGCCTCGTTCTGGATAGGACTCATATCGCACTAATGCAAGTAAGTTTATATTCACCTACAATCTATATTGGCACATAGCATTACAACAATGTTAAAAACAACAGTAGATTTTCTCAGAATTGGGAACCTTTTTTATTTTTAAATATGTCTGTTGTGACAATCTATGGCTTCATTTTTAGCTAACTTGGCCTTTGATTGGCTGAGACTTTTTTGATTTTATTCAAATATTCCTCTTCTGGCCCTGATCAAGTGTTTTTGTGTTTTGGACCAATTCATAATCAAAGATAGTCACCTGTCCTCTGATTGGAAGAGACTTATGTGACTAATTTTCAAATTTCATCACGTAAATGTTTAGTTTATTATATTGTACAGGTGTCCTTGTCATTTCCATAACCAGGTGTTTGTTTAATGTAAATTGCGTTGGTTGTGTCGTGCCACCAACAAGAAATTTGAAATGGCCACCATGGTCAAACAGTTGAATGATACAGGCCTGATGGGCCTCTTGTCGGTAAACAGGTCGTACAGGTTAACAGAAATACCTACATACCACATGTTTTGTGTATTGATCCCTTTGTATGGATTAATAGAATCTATCGCTACTGGTTGTGTAAGATAGAGAAATCTCAACCCGAGGACTAAGATTTTTTGTCCAGAACGAGGCTTGAAATAAAGGTAAACATGGACCCAAAACACATACAGGCAATTTGTTGATGGATTGTTGACGTGACGTCGTTGTATTGTTGAAGTGACGTCATGCCATTGTTATGAATAGGGGAATCCCCCCGTCTCAACCCTAGGGCGGAGACAGATAAATCTAGCACCGGCAAAACGGGAGATAAATCTGTCAGGTGTGGGAGAAAAGTAAATAAACACTTGTTTTTGAAAGCTGATCAGAGATGGTTGCCAGTCGGACTACGTTTGTCATTGAGAATGACATCAAAGAGTAACTATATTTAAATAATAGGATGTTGGCCAGGTGACAGTGAGTATTCTTCAAATGTTGGCCAGGTGAGAATCAACCACATTTTGGCAAAAAAGTATTAATTTTCCAGCTTCATGCAATTTGAAGACGACTTTTTCGGACATGTGGATATATTTGCCTGTCAAACTCCTTGTTACAGTCAAATACTACTGATTTGGTGAGTAGAGGAATACAAAGCTATAATAGTTGTAGCAGACAAAGGTGAAGTAACATGTTTTTGAGGAACTCTAATCAGAAACAAGCTTTATACTCTAGGCCACAAATGTAAGCACACCTTCAGGTTGTCACAGTTGCTGTGTATCAAGAGAATAGCTAAATGAATGAGCGTTTAAATGCTATTTAAAATACAGACATGAATTAGTAGGTACATTGTATGTGAACTGATGTGTGATACGATCCGATTATTTTTATAGAGTGATTGAACATCATTGTCTACAAATATAGTCTCTATACAAGCAGATAAAATCTGACATTTTGTTCAGCATTGTCAGCTTAACGAAATATGAATAAAATAATTCAGGGTATTAATTTCTCAAAATAATTTACTGATAATTACATTTCCTACTTTTGGTTGAAAGAGTTTGAATTTAACAAAGATATTTCTGTTTATTACTAATTGGACTCTTTTTGAAAGTAAGAATTAGAGACATAATATTTCATATTTATGGTAATGTTAGGCCTACCAAGTTTTGTTTGAATGGGACAGGAATCTTCTGGTAATTCTATCTGTTACCCCATACATTATAATAGGTTGATCTAAACCAAAGATGGAACAATTCATTGTTAATTAATGGGGGTGGGTTAAATACGGATCCGGATGTTCAAATGGAGTTGTGTCTGTAGTCCATAGAAACAATGATAGGAGAAGCTATTTAATGCATGTTTTATTTAGATCACAAAAATTCAATTAAGAAATTTGATATCAAATATTTTAGGTATGATATATTTTTAGCAGATATTGAATTACAATTTTATTAAATGAATTACTAAATATTGAAATAAGAGAATTGAATTCTTCAGAGTTTGAAAAATGTTTTGTAAAATGTTTTGTGCGGAAACAATATACGTATTCAGATAGTTGATATATATTGTTTGAGAAGAACAATGTATTGCTATATATAAGTACCTGAATTGTACACCCCAAGTACACGTAGATATTGTTGGTTGGTCCTAGGAAGTCCCTTGTTGTCCACAGTTATAACATTGGGACCGGTGGACAACTGTCTGCTCGATAGTGGATGTTGTAAAACAAATGCAGGTTTCTGAAAAGATTTGGCGACAAAGCAGTTTACATAGAATGATAGATGTACCAACACCCCATTGTGATGTTAGGACAGTAGTTCCCATAGATGTACCAGCAACCTCAGTGTGATGTTAGGACAGTAGTTCCCATAGATGTACCAACACCCCATTGTGATGTTAGGAAAGTAGTTCCCATAGATGTACCAGCAACCTCAGTGTGATGTTAGGACAGTAGTTCCCATAAATGTACCAACACCCCATTGTGATGTTAGGCAAGTAGTTCCCATAGATGTACCAACTCCCCATTGTGATGTTAGGAAAGTAGTTCCCATAGATGTACCAACCCCCCATTGTGATGTTAGGACAGAAGTTCCCACAGATGTACCAGCAACCTCAGTGTGATGTTAGGACAGTAGTTCCCAACATGTGGAAACACATTCTGTGGTTTTATACTGGTGTTGAAAACCTGACCTTCATCTCTGAAAGTGTTAGCGACTGCACAGGATTGTAAAACTACGTGGATGTCACATGGAATATGTGGACGGATCGTTACTTTGTATCAATTTACTTGCAGTATATGGAACTGATCTCAGTATTAGTTTCGACCAGAATGAGGCCAGATAGCTCCAGCGTATGGTATCGGAGAGAGTGTGACAGCTGTCTGCTGTAGGGTGCTGAATCACAGAATGGAAGCGCATAATATGGATGTTTCTTTGGCAGTAGGTCTGCAAAGGAAAATAGTCTATTTCACTGAATTTCAGAATAAATGCTCATAAAAAATTATATGAATTTAAACTGTCTTAGCCTGAAATGAATAGGACAGCAGGAAGAATGTTTTGATATAAGGTGAAAAAACTAAAATCTGACTACAACCAGGTTGAATGGTTTTGTGTTCACGCAAAGAATAGAAATGGCTGGATTTCAACTTCGTGGACGCCACAAAGGAGTCGGTAAATATGCAGGAAACATTGTCCTGGTCAGAATATTTCCTGTCCCAACTCTTTTCAAACTCATCATTTATCTAGTAAATATAGTCTTATCATTTACTGCATTAATAGCAATGGTTAGTGATTAACATTTTAAAGAATCCACTTAATCTCAGGAATACACATCAAAATAGATCTGCTTTTTATCCTGTTCCCCTCCTTTGGTCTTCATACACATGGTACTTACTCCATATCTATAACAGATCTACTAATATTAACCTGGAGGTTTATCTATAGGAGCCACCAGTATAGTTGTATCACCTCAGCTGTAATATAGACATTGATCATCACCACATACATGTAGGATGATTTGTGTAGTTTTGTGTAGTTTTTCATTAGGACTTGTCTACTTACAGGGTCTTTAGCAGAAGGAATGAGCAAATCAATAGAGCGACAACAGAGATCCTACTACGATGGAAATATCCCTTCAAACAGGAAGTCAGGTTCTCGTCTTCAGGGTCCTAGAATTGATGTTGGGTCAAGAAAACAAGCTTATCGTCAGGGAAACACACCAAATAGGTCATCAGCTGATCTCACCAAACTTCCACCAATCAATGGTTTCCGCAACGAAAAACCAGACAGTCGGGAGACGGGATCAACTGTTGTGTTTACAGATGGTGGCGGAGATACATCCCCCAGCAAAGGTCAGCATGGAGGTCATGTATCACGCCCTCCGTATAGTCCGACAAAAATGTCTGTTTCCAAGGACAAATCCCCTGCCAAGGATCAAAGGTCAGGGGTCACATGTAATGACATTGTGGCCATGACCTCAAACTATGTTCCAAGTGATGACAAGTCCACCATCAGAGATCAAAGGTCAAATATTGCATCATTGGTCAATTCTGTCCAGCTTGAAGACAAGCCACAAGATGATGAAAGGTCAAAGTTCATCAGGGATCAAAGGTCAAGTATACCATCAATGATTCCTTCATTTCAAATGGATGCCAAAACAAAAGAGGAAAGGTCAAAGGTGAAGGAACAAAGGAAAAGTTTGATTCCATCATTCTCCAGTGAGGATAGGTCAAGGTCAAAGGATTCCAAATATAGCTCAAGTAACAATCATGGCGAGGAGGGATCGAAGGTTGAGGCGGTGAAGGCAGAGGTGGGAAAACCTGAACCAACAAAGACAGAGCCTAAAACCTTGTCACCAAAGAAAACAGTTGAAGGGGTGGAACCAGAAGTTGGGGAGTTCAAGTCAGAAATAGCATGGGACGTTGATGTATCTGACATCACCCCTAGCAGGAAAATCAGGAAACCAGGTAATTTATGGCAAAGTGACCAAGTTGTATGTGCATCTGTGCATGTAATTCAGGTGATAATATTAGCATAGCAAGTTGTTACTATTTAGAAATATCTACATGCTAAAGCTTTTGGAAACTGTTTGGGTATTTCCATCTTATTCAATGTTTGAATAATCTGGGACGACCAATCGTGACATGATGTCAAATTAACTATTGGCAGAATCCTAATATTTTCCGATTAATGTTCAGTGCCAAATAAGAAGTAAAATGATGTAGATTTAACGTTTTCCAGCTTTAGTCCTGTTTTAAGTAACTAGGTGCAGCAAACATTCTTTGTCTTGTGAAACAGTTATGTCTTCTTCTTCTTGACAAATGTAACATGTGTAAACTAATATGACTTCAATCAACATGTTTTGTTTTAAAGTGTTAACAAGTTCTCAAACGAAGGTAGACGACTCTAGCCCTTACATCCCTTCAAGTGTGAAAGTGACTGAGGAGCAGATCTGTGCTAGGAAAGTTTTTGATATGAAACGATGGTATGTGTATTCATAAACTGATGGTGTATATATATCTATGGGTAATTAAATACAATTATTGATATCTGATGAGGTTACCATATTTTACTGCAAATAAGCCCCCACCCCTAGTGGAAAAAATAGACCAAATAGAGGAAGGGGGCTTAATTTTGAACATTAACTAAATATTGAAACATAAACACTGCACAGTAGCTAGACAGCAGTGTAAATAGCCTAACAAATGTGTCAGACCCGATTGTTTTGATTCAGACTGACTTGTAGGTTTTGGACATGAACAGTTTGTCAGTCCCAATTGTTTTGATTCAGACTGACTTGTAGGTTTTGGACATGAACAGTTGTCAGTCCCAATTGTTTTGATTCAGACTGACTTGTAGGTTTTGGACATGAACAGTTGTCAGTCCCAATTGTTTTGATTCAGACTGACTTGTAGGTTTTGGACATGAACAGTTGTCAGTCCCAATTGTTTTGATTCAGACTGACTTGTAGGTTTTGGACATGAACAGTTGTCAGTCCCAATTGTTTTGATTCAGACTGACTTGTAGGTTTTGGACATGAACAGTTGTCAGTCCCAATTGTTTTGATTCAGACTGACTTGTAGGTTTTGGACATGAACAGTTGTCAGTCCCAATTGTTTTGATTCAGACTGACTTGTAGGTTTTGGACATGAACAGTTGTCAGTCCCAATTGTTTTGATTCAGACTGACTTGTAGGTTTTGGACATGAACAGTTGTCAGTCCCAATTGTTTTGATTCAGACTGACTTGTAGGTTTTGGACATGAACAGTTGTCAGTCCCAATTGTTTTGATTCAGACTGACTTGTAGGTTTTGGACATGAACAGTTGTCAGTCCCAATTGTTTTGATTCAGACTGACTTGTAGGTTTTGGACATGAACAGTTGTCAGTCCCAATTGTTTTGATTCAGACTGACTTGTAGGTTTTGGACATGAACAGTTGTCAGTCCCAATTGTTTTGATTCAGACTGACTTGTAGGTTTTGGACATGAACAGTTGTCAGTCCCAATTGTTTTGATTCAGACTGACTTGTAGGTTTTGGACATGAACAGTTGTCAGTCCCAATTGTTTTGATTCAGACTGACTTGTAGGTTTTGGACATGAACAGTTGTCAGTCCCAATTGTTTTGATTCAGACTGACTTGTAGGTTTTGGACATGAACAGTTGTCAGTCCCAATTGTTTTGATTCAGACTGACTTGTAGGTTTTGGACATGAACAGTTGTCAGTCCCAATTGTTTTGATTCAGACTGACTTGTAGGTTTTGGACATGAACAGTTGTCAGTCCCAATTGTTTTGATTCAGACTGACTTGTAGGTTTTGGACATGAACAGTTGTCAGTCCCAATTGTTTTGATTCAGACTGACTTGTAGGTTTTGGACATGAACAGTTGTCAGTCCCAATTGTTTTGATTCAGACTGACTTGTAGGTTTTGGACATGAACAGTTGTCAGTCCCAATTGTTTTGATTCAGACTGACTTGTAGGTTTTGGACATGAACAGTTGTCAGTCCCAATTGTTTTGATTCAGACTGACTTGTAGGTTTTGGACATGAACAGTTGTCAGTCCCAATTGTTTTGATTCAGACTGACTTGTAGGTTTTGGACATGAACAGTTGTCAGTCCCAATTGTTTTGATTCAGACTGACTTGTAGGTTTAATCGCTGCAGATCGGGGTCTTTTACTCACACTGCAGCAGCTTAATCTTATCAATTTTTAGAACTACTGTAACAAAAGCTTTACCATAAACAAAGCACCAATCTGCATTGTTTCCAGTTTCAAAATTATTTTGGTTGTTTGTAGGGTGTGCGTGAGTCGACCACAGTACAGCAAGTCATGTGGAATTACCTCCCTTGTCTCCTGTTGGAACTTCCTATTTAGTTTACTGGGTAACGGAAGGTAAGGTGGTTATCTTTTGTATATTTGTAGCCGGGTTCCAATGCGAGGGTCATTAAATATTACTCAACACCGGCGTTAGGGTTCACTTAGGTAGTTCATTACGGGTAACCCCGATAAACACATATCTACAAATGACAAATACAAACCATAAATACACATTCGTACGTACCTGCGCTCACAAATATAACATTCATTCATTTTAATATTAACTCAATTTAATAATAGTATTAAATTGCTATAGGCCTAGAAGAAAATAATGGAATAGCTACTAATTATTTAGCAGTTACTTAGACAAGAATATATATATACGTTTTCTGGACATAGTGAAACTAAACTAGCGACTAAAATAGAGTCTCCAAAACCATGTGTTATCTAAAAGTTAATAATTTATGTTACAATTGTGTTAATTATAAATTGTACATAATATATAATATTTAAAACCTACATACAAACAATACTCTCTCACTTATAACACTTACCGCTGTGTAACAGCAAAATGCAACTGTCTTGCTAATACCAGAGGGCTCAAGTAGACACGGCATATACATCCTTCTCCGTCGATGTATTTGGCCGGAGATGCCCAAATACGATACCCGACCCCAACTCTCTGGGACATGAATATAAGACACCACGTGACAAACACGACAGGTACACAGGTAACGCGCGTGAATAGGACATTAACACGGGTAACACGCATAACTCGCACAAATTGGACACGGAAGTATACGAAGTAAATGAATAGAGTAAATGATATACAAGATAAAGAATGTAAAAGATATACAGAAGAAGAATGAAAAGGAGAATTTATATACTTAAAACTTTAATTGGCCAAGCACTTAATAGGTGCCTGCCACATATTATTCTCTATATAGGTTTCTTGATGAATAATGGTTTCATGAGTGCATTGTGCAGTAATTTAATATTTTCAAAAATATTCTGCCATTCATAGTGCATAGAGTGTATGTATGCATAAATTTGATGATATGTTTGTTTGTATTTCACTGACGTTACATATGTTTCAGAAAGTTTTAAGTTCTAATTTAGTGACGAGACATGTTTGTATGGTTGTGTTTCAGTCTAGCACCTATCACCCAGGAAGAGGCTCTCACCATTCTTGGGTTCAAACCACCATTTGACGAGATCAGATTTGGGCCGTTCACTGGAAACGCAACCTTAATGACGTAAGTTAACTGAAAAGAATCGTACTACATATTGTATCTTTTCTCTTTATTCAATATGAAAATAGTTGCTCTTGTAGTTATCTCCCCTGGCTCTGTAGTACTTGCTGGTACTTGGGTGATCCGATAGATTCACAATTTATAGTCATATGACACTGACTGGTAAAATATGGGGTTATTTAACAGATTCACATAATTTCTCCATTTCAATGCTCTATTAAATAATAAGTATTATATAAGAAATGTTATGTGCTGTAGGTGTTAAATAGAGAGTAAGAACCATTTAACTGGCTGGTTGTGCTGATGTGTAGGGAGAGTAAGAACCATTTAACAGGCTGGTTGTGCTGATGTGTAGGGAGAGTAAGAACCATTTAACTGGCTGGTTGTGCTGATGTGTAGGGGCATAATATAATAAGGGATCCTTGTTTCTAATCATAACTTAATCATGGTTGGCTCTGTCTTTTGCTTACCTTCCCCACTCACCCAGTATCTTCATGTCGTGTGAATTTCAGAGAACCTGATTGGAAAAATATATGCCAATGTCATGAAATTCCCCTTTCTGCTATGAATGATACATGAGCATTCAATATGTTGTTTTATCACAACAAAATGCAGAAGAGCTTTGCAATAAGATTTTATAGAAAATAGCACCTGATCACGTGTAAGGCAGTCAGCTGATCACGTGTAAGCCAGTCAGCTGATCACGTGTAAGGCAGTCAGCTGATCACGTGTAAACCAGTCAGCTGATCACGTGTAAGGCAGTCAGCTGATCACGTGTAAGCCAGTCAGCTGATCACGTGTAAGCCAGTCAGCTGAAGGGGTATACTTGTGGGATGACAGTGTTGAGGATGATGCAGGTGGATAGGATATGATTGATAATCTCTATAAATGTAATTCAGCTCAGAAATAACTGTTATATCATTTTATAAACTAAAAGATCTCCAGATTTGTTGGTTTATGCTTATAAGACCTGTTTGAATGTATTTAAACTGCACAACCACTGGAGTTTTTTTTCTATATTTTTGTTTTTGTGTTAAAATGAATGACAACAACAAACTTCAAGATCCCTGGTTCATACATTGGTCAAAATCTCTGCAGAGCTTACATCATTTTTCTCAAAATAAAATGTATTATATTGAACATGTATATTTTGTCAGATGGTTCAAGAAGCTAAACGACCACTTTAAAGTGCGTGGGCAGAGCTACTTTACATACAAACCTCACGGTAAGGACAAGACCTTTGGGATGACATCAGACATGGCCCTCCAGGCAATTAAAAAAGGACTGCAGGACCCCAACACAAGCTACATCTACCACTGCCAGAATCATTACTTCTGTCCAATCGGATTTGAGGATACACCCCTAAAAGCTGAGGAGGCTTACAGGTAATGAACACTTTTGTACCCTAGGTATATACAGTATATACCACTACTGATACTTTGTCCCAAGGATTTTAAGGATACACCCCTCAATGCTGTGGAGGCTTACAGGTAATGAACACTTTTGTACCCTAGGTATATATATACCACTCCCAATACTTTGTCCCAAGGATTTTAAGGATACACCCCTCAATGCTGAGGAGGCTTACAGGTAATGAACACTTTTGTACCCTAGGTATATACAGTATATACCACTCCCGATACTTTGTCCCAAGGATTTTAAGGATACACCCCTCAAAGCTGAGGAGGCTTACAGGTAATGAACACTTTTGTACCCTAGGTATATATACCACTCCCGATACTTTGTCCCAAGGATTTTTAAGGATACACCCCTCAAAGCTGAGGAGGCTTACAGGTAATGAACACTTTTGTACCCTAGGCACATGTATATATATACCACTCCCAATACTTTTGTCCCAAGGATTTTAAGGATACACCCCTCAATGCTGAGGAGGCTTACAGGTAATGAACACTTTTGTACCCTAGCTATATATATACCACTCCTGATACTTTTGTCCCAAGGATTTTAAGGATACACCCCTCAAAGCTGAGGAGGCTTACAGGTAATGAACACTTTTGTACCCTAGGTATATATATATACCACTACTGATACTTTTGTCCCAAGGATTTTAAGGATACACCCCTCAATGCTGAGGAGGCTTACAGGTATGGTACATCGGTACTCCAGTTATACCTGTATATAGCTATCACCACAATCAGTTCTGAGGGGTTCGAGGGTACAACTGTTACAGCTTTGATATATGTGGCAGTTGGTTATGAGGCATTCCGTTTTACTTATGTCAAATATGGTTTGAGGATATGCACCCAAGTCTAAGGAGGCAACTATTAATAGGTCACTGTCAGAACCAGTGCCACATCAGTTATCTGATTGTACTAAATATACCATATTCATTTACCAGAGTTTGATCTCCAGTTTTCCTAAACTGGGAATGATCCAGAAAGTGTCAGAGATTAATGCTATCTTCTCACACAATCCGACCTCAAACGTTGGTTCTAGTTAACCAGTGGTTAGGAAAACATTTAAAATATGAATATAACTAAATAAAGACGTCCAGAAAGATATCATTTCCTTGCTGTAGATCAGTTGCGACAAATCAGATCAATGTGTTATTGTGTTTTGAGGATTAATTTTGCTTTGTTTAGCATTTGTTTCTTCAACAATTAAATTTTTTCACTAACCACTGGTTAAAGTTAACCAACTTTGAACAACTGGAGTCTGATGTCCTGAAAAACACAGAAGGATGATAATGTTACGTGTCTTGTGATATTGGTATTTATGTTGGCTGTGTTAACTATTTCAGTGGACCCCTTGCCCAGGAGGACGTAGAAACACATATTCTGATTGGAGACTGTGCAATCAAACACCCAAGTATACACTGCAAAAAGTAAGTTTGTAAATGAGTTACAAAATGATAAAAGGAATACTGATTGACTGATTATTCTTTGTCTGACAAAGGTGTACCTCACACCTAGTCATTGAAATGTGAGTACAGTGGATTAAAATGTATTAAAAACCTCTTACCTATTTAATGAAATGACATGCAAAGTCACATTGGAATCACACTTGTTATTTGAATATTTGTGAGCTATAATTATGCTTCCCCCACCAAAGTTAGTGAGGTACTGGATTCAGGTTGTCTGTGTGTCTGTTCGTCCTTAGATGGAATCTTTTCTGGACAGCTCCTAACTTTTCATTGATATTTCTTGAAACTTTTGTGGAAGCTATATGCCCCCTTAGAAAACTGATAGCCAAGTCTTCTTTATTCTGATCTACATCTACATTATGGCCAGAACAATGGTCCTGAAGCTTCTTTACATACTTTTACGGAATTGCTACATATTGTCAACATTTGGTATAACTACATTTCTGTTGACCTTGCTTTGGCAATTTTATGGGGGAGCTTTTATATTTATAGTTGCGTGTAGTTGTGTGTTGAATTCACAGTTAGTCAATGGTAAATAATTATGTAGAAGTGGTCACAATATTGTAATTATTTTGTTGTAGATGGGAGGATATTTCCATCGACCTGAATTGTGTCAATCCTGAGTACCTTAACATTCGTCGCCTGCAAGAAGGACTGCAGAAACGCAAGGCCAAAAAGCCTGGTGGTAATCTTCATTGCATCATGGCATTTCGCAAAAACAATTTTCAGTCTATTCACAGAACTCATATCCCTGTGTTTGGGGGTGGGGCTAAAACAAGAACACGATCAACATCAAACCAAGCACTAAATGTTTCACCGGGCACACACGTTTCTACAACAGGGACCCCCATTATGCCAATGTCTGCTGACACAACTGCCAAACTTGGTAATAATAATGAAATCTCAATGGGAGTGAATCATCATTCTGAAGTGTTGCCTAGCAACGGATTTGGTGACGGTGAGCATCCACAGGTAGGAGATGTAAAGCAGACAGAGGAGGAGGAGGAGAATATGTGTTCAGAGGATGAAGAGGATGATGAATAAGTCGTGAATTTTTGGGAACATTTGTTTTATAAATGTGTATTATACAATTCTGTTATTGGTTTACAAGACAGTATGATCTGCTGATTTTCCAAACTCATTAGCTCCTACATCTCTGGTAAATGTATTTTGAAATATATTTGTTTGAATAGCGAGCTATCTTAATGTAAATTATTATGGTTTAACCAAAAGTAAATTTTGGGTTTCTTAAGAGACAATGTTTACAATACCTGGTATTTACTACAAAAACTTAAAGATTGGTAATTTATAGTCCTGTTATATTTTTGATACATGTTGAGTTGTACAGTTGTCTGGTGACAAATGGTAACTATTGTGGTCATATCACAATGAACCGGGGATGTTTTCATTGATCGCATTCTAAACAGTTTGACCGATTGAACCAGTTGTTTGTTTATGAAATAGGGATGGACTTGGTTATCTGATGTTGCGTTCTGATGAGCCTTGATGAAGACTTCTAAGGCCTGTATCTGCATTTATCCCAGAAATATCACATATAGAAAAAATGGCCTTCTTGTTTGTTGGCAAAAAGAAACAGGCCCATTGTCTTTAAAGTAGATAATTTTTATTTTAAAAGTTGCCAGTTCAACTTGAAAGCCGATACACTGTATAGAATGAAAAAGTGGATATTAAATTCAACATATATTGGATGTTTCAAAAGGGAATGGAAAATTTAATTCAGTGAAATGAAGATAGTTATGTGTGTGAATACATTTCTTACATAGAATTTTGCTACAGTGCTGCATATTGATCTGTTAGATATTTACAAGTGATTTGAGGTGAATTATAAGTGTGCTAAAAGTGATATCTTAAAGATCCCTGTACCACTGCCAAAGTCTATCTAAACACTGGTTACTGGTTTTTCTGGCATGATATAGCTATTATAAATCATTTCTGGAACGAAAACTATGCCTTATGATAAAGTTGAAATAAACGAAATACAATCAGTGTACTGTGTAAAAACAATAATAGCAGACCTAGACCAGGATTCAAACAGCCTAGATCTCTGTTGTTCTACTATCGCTCTAACTGACTGAGCTACCTGGTCAACAGAAGTGTCCTTCCCAACTGTGCTACAGTTAAATCCAGAACGAAATTAAGGGGAGACAACTGTATATACGAAAAGCCAGAGTGCAGTGGGACAGGGACCCTTAACACAGTGAAGATATCACAAATGCGATGATATTCAGAAAAATATTGAATCTCAAATATATGCAAAATTAAGGGAATATAATGAAGGAGAACAAGTGTGACATGTTTTCATTGATTGATATTTCTTGAATTTTTTTTTTTTACATGAATAAGGACAAAAACTTACTAAAGGCCAAGTTGTAAATTTTTTGCTGCCTGAATATTTTTACAATTAACTGTGATAAAATGTACAGCTAGTGTAGTGTTTTGTCTGTAATATTGTTTTTCTGATTGTAAGCCTCATTGATACTCGAGCTCTAACCCACTAGGTTCACCAGTTGTTGACCTTTAGATGATGAAACACCATCTACAGTCACTCCAAAATCTCAGTTCGTCTCATTACACAGTGGAATCTGTGTAAACAATCTGTTAAAACTGACACTAGGAAATTGTTGTCAACGAGTCAGGTATCATTGAGTAAAGTTTTTACTGCGATGTAATTAACAAGGGAGGCAACTGGAACAATTTGCAGGTACAAAATTTTACCACTGCTTAACATGTGTTGTCAATATTAGACACAAAGGAATACGTGTAATGAAAATCATCATTCTGGTGAAATTTTATAATCTGTATAAAACATAAATCTACAAATTCTAAGTTCCCGGTAATATGTGTTCACCTGATCACACATTTTGTTTATGATTTACTGAAATGCACACCTTGCTTTACAATCTACATACAAATAAACATAGGAAACATACACTGTACATATACATCTGTAATAATATTAAGCATTAATTGAAAATATGAATGTTTTAACAAATAGGTCGAACCTAGTATTTCATTTTTGTTATTATATGTTTATATTTTTGTTTATGTGTTATATAAGATCTCACAGTGACAGCTATGCTTGATGAATTGCTGTCAAGGTCTGAGAAAGTTTAACGGACCTGTCTCGGGCACAGCATCAATCATCAGGAGAAATCTGTCTTCCCGACTGGAACCCAGGACTTTAGATTATAATTAAGAGTTACTCAATGACTGAAAAGTTAAATAAAAAACAAATACTAATTGAAAACTTTCACCTTAAGTATAATCGGTAAAAAATATATCAATCAATCATCAATTAAGGAAAGAATTCTGTTTTGTCAATCAATTTTCTGACAGAATGCTACTTCAAGAATGAATAAATGATATATTCTAAAATAGATGAAAAAGAGCTGATAATTTGGGGCACTGCATCTTTGATGGGGCCCTAATTACAGAATTAGGAGAATTTTAAAGTAGAACCTGAAGCGGAAGAAGTGGGGTCCAGCCTGATCTGTTTATTGATTTTGAACATGGAATCAAGCAGCTTGATACCAAATGTGTCTCCTTGTTTGATCACTATATTTAATTCCTATTCTACAAATTCTCTACATAGAGATGTTACACAACAGTTATATATCTATATACATTGTATTTCACATTATCATTTACATAGCTCATTCATATATAGTAAAGTCTTGTCTTGTTTATGTAAGTTAACATAAAATGGTTTCAAAAGTGATGTGTGCTTTTAGTTGTATTTGAGCGAGATATATCATGATCACTAGACCGCCACGGCCGCCATTTTGAAAAAAAAAATCAGACTTGAGTTCTACTGGGTCGATTAAACTGAAACTTGGTAGGAATGATCGACTCATGGTCCTGACAAAGTGTTGTTATTTTTCGGGTTGATCAGAAATCCAATATGGCCACCACGGCCACCATTTTGAAAAACTATTTCAAACTCTTCAAGCTCTTCTGAGCCGATTAGCTGAAACTTGGTAGGAATGAATGACTCATGGTCCTTGCAAAGTGTTCTTTTTATCCGGGCCGATCGAAAATCAAATATGGCCACCACGACCGCCATTTCGGAAAAATATATTTCAAACTTAAATAGGCCGATTAACTGAAACTTGGTCTAGGAATGATCAACTCATGGTCCTGACAAACTTAACTTGACGTTATACTTAACTATTTTTTACTCAAATTGGTAGGGAAGATTGACATCATTATCTCCACTTCATATTTCAACAAAAAATTTTTTTGTAGGACTCGGGTGACCATTAAGGCCCATGGGCCTCTTGTTACCAGAGTTATGGCCCTTTTAAACTTGGAGTTTTATACACATGTCAAAAATGTTGACGGGAAGTATTATGATAAGAGGAACATTTGTCTGTCCTATCAATTCTTTCACACTTTGGTCTGCAAGATAGCTTGCTAAAATATCGTTCAGTTTTGATGAAACTTGGAATGCATTTACATTTTACGAAGACTGAGACTAAGTTTAAACTTGAGCAATCTCAGTACGTACTGTGCTGTGATTGGTCAACGTTTTGAGCACAATAACTTTGTAAGTATGACTGGATTCTCTTGCTACTTGGTTAATATTTGTTTTATACAATGACAAAAGCTGCACAACATTAGCATGCTGCTATCTGACTGTTCGATGGTTTCCGCACAATAACTTTGTCAAATATGACTGGATTCTGATAAAACTTTGTCAATATTTACACATCGCAAAATCTGCCAGTAAGTAATGAATACAGTGTAAATGTTGTTTCATTCTCCTTCCATCTCCATATTTTCAGATACAATAATGCATCAGGGGATTTTAATTTGTCACATTGGCATGGGATGCGCTCTGCTATACTTCAAGTTCTTGTGAAAACAGCTTGTTCCCCAGTTTTCAAACAAATGTTAGGAAATTTTGTACATTTCACAAGTATCATATCTGTATGAAGAATTGCATATCATGTAAGTTAGACCCTGTATCAATCGGGTTTTACAAGAGTTATTGCCCTTTGAAACTTTTTCTTGTGAGTTCAACTAGTCCTTATTTTTCAACCGGTTGTTACAAAATTTTGAATGTGTCATGGTTATTATATGAAGATTCCAAGATCATAAAAACAGATTCTGCCTCAATATTACAGGAGTTATTGCCCTTTGAAACTTAATCTTTCTTGTGAGCATAACTAGTCCTAGTTTTCACACATTTGTTCCTGAATGTTGTACGTTTTACAGATGTGATATATGCTTAAACTTATTAACAACTCCCAAATGATCACAAGTCCTACTGTCATAATATTTTGGCTAAAACATGCTTGGAAAAAGGGATATCAAGGTTGTTTAAATGCACGACCTTGACCCATTTTGAAGGTTACAAGGGTAATTGTTTAAAACCTTTGAACAACTAAACTGAATAACCAAGAGGCTGAGGCTCTGAATATTTGACCAATAGCTTGCTGGAATAACAGGTTGTAAAATGTCAAATAACAAGATCACTGGGGGAAAATGTGTTAAATATTTATGGTAATTACTTACTCCAAATAAGCAAGATGTGTTTGGGCCAGTGAGTGAGTATTTGACTGGTTGCATGCTGGGATCATGGAATATAAGCTGTTTATTTTCTTCAAATTAAAACCATTGACCCCCTTTCAAGGTCACATGTGTCAGGGGTGTTAAAGCATTTAAATAACCTCTGAATAACTAAGGGGACTTGTGTTGTGATATTTAGCTTTATCTGCTTATAACATGTTAGGATGAATGGTTATCAAGTTTGTTCAAATAAATGGCCTTGACCTACTTAAAAGATACAAGATACAAATAAAAACTTTCAAATGAGTTCCTCTCAAGGAGTCTCATGAGTACCAAGAGGCCAAAGCTCGTGTTGTACTTGTAGAATGTGGAGGTGATATGCTATTATGTTTACATCATAAATGACCTGGATCCACTTTCAGAAAGTGCTAGAGTTAAAATGGGCTACAAATTGAAAAAAAAGATTGTTCTGATGAAAGACCTTTACCTCATTTGCAAGTCACATGGGTGAAATGTGTTTGAATAACCAAGAGCCATAAGATGCATGGTTATGCAGTACAAACTGGAAAGTGCCATTTTATACACAAAGGGAATTTATAGAGATAGAGGTATCATCTATAAAAAGATGGCCTTTATAGACAGGTATTTGCAACATATGGTTGGTCATATAGACAGGCATTCTATACAAAGGGGTGTCCTTTACAGACGTATTTATTTATACAGGGGTGGTCTTTATAGACAGATATTAACTACACCGGGTGGCCTTTATAGACAGGTATTTTCTATGCAGGGGACCTCATTATTAGCAGATATTTTCTATACAGTGGTGGCTTTTATAGACATTGTTTTATACAGGGTTGGCCTTTGTTTGCAGGTTTTGCTATACAGGGGTGGTATTTATAGACAGTTTTTAGCTCACCTGGTCCGAAGGACCATGGTGAGCTTATGCCATACAGCAGCATCCGTCGTCCCATCAACTTTTCCTTTAAAACACTATTAGTAATGAATGACTGAGCAGATTTTGACCAAATGTGGTCAGAAGCATCCTTGGGGGAAGGGGAACAAATTTATTTAAAATCCTTCTTCTGTAGGAATGAAAGGATTTGGTCCATATCTGGTGTGGAGCATCCTTGGGTAAAGGGGAACCAATTTTGTATAAACCGTGGGTCTGGCCCCCCAGGGGCCTGAAGGGCAGGGCCTAATAGGGGAAACATAGCAAATTCTTCAATGGAAGGATTTTGTCAAAATTTGGTATGAAGCACCCTTGGGTGAAGGGGAACCAATCTTGTATAAATGGTGTGTCTGATCCCCCTAGAGACAGGGCCCAATAGGGGAAATAGAGGTAAATCTTTTAAAATCTTTCTTCTACCATAGGGATTAAGGGATTGTATCCTAATTTAGTCCGAAACATCCTCGGGTCAGGGGGGCTCAATTTTGTATAATTGGTGGGTATGACCCCCTTAGGGCATAGGGGTGGGGCTCTGTTTAAAGTTTGTCTTGCTATATTTCAAGTACGGAATACAAGTATGGATCTTTCTGAAATTTCATATGTACTTACAGCACCTACCATGGAGTGCTATATCTTTACTTCATACCAATTATTTTAAACATATTCAGGTGAGCGATACAGGCTCTCTGGCCCTCTTGTTTTGGTATATAATGGTGGTCTTTATATGCAGGTTTTCTATACCTTATACATGCTTATCATGTATAAGCAGGTATTTTTTTGTATGTAGATGGCCTTTATAGACAGGTTTTTGTATATATTGGTGGTCTTTATATGCTGGTTTTCTTTACAGGGGTATCCTATATAGGCAGGTATTTTCTGTACAGTGGTGGCCTTTATAGACAGGTTTTTACTATAGAGGTCACAATTGAGTGTTTTGGATGTACATGCAGATATATAGAGAATCTGAATAACAGAATAATCATCTAAACTTGAGGTAAAGGTATCAAAAGAAAACTCAATAGAGGTTCTTTCTCCTGTTATTTTTATTTCTCTGTTCACAAGAAAATTTCAATCATCAACATTCATGAAGTTTCACAATATAAATATAATATAATACAAGCCTACTGTTGCTTCTTTTGACTGTCACCTTTGAAGAAACACAAACAAATTGTTAATATGAGAGAACCACAAGCAAGCACTGCCACCAAGCCTATCAACATGTAATACTCCATCAAAGACTGACCAAGAGTGATGACATCCACACAGTTATGGTCTAAGGACGTAACCTGTACACTTTTCAGACAAACAAGATATGCTGTGTCCGGGTGTAAATCATGTATAGTGTAAACACCGACATTACCAGTGACTGACATCTCCCTCCAAACATTCTGCCCACCAAATGTTCGGTATGCTAAAACCATCTCCCTTGATTTAGAATTAACTTCTCCTTGCGGTGGTATCCAGCCTACTTTGATATATGTCTGTCCTACAAAACTTACATGCAGTTCAGGAGACCATGAATGATCTTTCTCTGGTGTCTTATCATCCTTTACCGGTTTCCTTATATCGGAACATACAAACTGATCCGAGTCAAGCATGTCCCATGATTTTCCAGCTAGGTGAACGGGTGTTGCACAAACTGGGATGTATTTTTCCAAATTTACATCAATGTATTTCAGTAAGTATAGACGTAAATCATACAAGTCTTTTACCCATTGTAGGTGGCAGTCACAGTGAAATGGATTACCCCCTAACAGAAACACATCATGAGGGTAAAGCTCATTCTCATCAACTTCCTCACTCAAATGTGTAATATTGTTGAATGACATGTCCAACCATTCAAGTGTTGGTAAATAGCTCGGCAGATTTACAAAGCTATTAAATGCTAACGACAAATATCGCAGATTATGCAAATTTTTAAGACTTCTTTGATTAAATCCTGAAATAGAATTATTGCTTAAATCTAGAACTTCAACTACGTTCAATTCCTTTACAAAAGACACATTTGATACTCTGTTGTTTGAAAGAGATATGTGTTTCAGTTTTGGAAATCTTTTGAAAGTATTATCATCTATATTTCTAATCCGATTCCCAGAAAGGTCTAAAATTTCAAGATTTAAAAATTCAAAAGTGGTGTTTGACCTTTTTCTTTGCTCACAATGAAGACCCCCATTGCTGAGATCAATGTAATTATCCCTTAAATAAAGTTCTCGCAAATGACTTCCACTCAGATGACATAGACTTGTAATCATATTAATGCTTAGATGTAATACTACTAATTTTTCAGGAAGAAAATTTGGAATTTCTGTCAATTTGTTTTGTTTGAAATACAAGTATTCCAAATTAGAAAATGCTTTCAAGAAAGTTGAATGAAGATCAACAACAGCATTGTTACTTAAATCCAATATTGTGACATTTATAAATAAAACATTTTCTCCTTCAAGTCTGTTTAAGTGTGTAATCCAGTTCCCACTAATGTTTAGCTTTGTTGCAATGAGTGGTATTGATTCGGGGAAAGTTGTGAGTTCTCGGTTTGTACAGTCCACACTGAAGACTCCAGAAGCATCTATTCCACACCGACATGAACTAGGACAGTCTACTGATGATGCCTGTTGAATTGTCAACCCTGTCAGAGTAATCAACGCAATTAGCCACCATCCATCACAGGGTTTCTTTTTCATCTGAATAGAATAGAAACGATTGATTATATCCTTTATTAACTGTTTGGAGGAATTCCTGTTAAATTTGCAAATATCAATCTTGGTGATATGAGAGTGCTGTTTTATTTTTTCAATTGAATGAAGAAGGTAAATGTAATTTTCAACATAGGTTGTCTTACAACTTTTTGCTTAATATGACGAACACCATCAATGCAAAGTAGAGTAACTGCAAGTATAAAGACTATAGATGCTCACGGAAATGTAATTTCTCGTCTAATTGAATATATTTTTTGATTAACTTACCATTTAACAGTTTATAGTGGGTTAATTGAATTAACAGATTAAACTGGGATATCTGTATATATTTCAAGCATGAGGCTTGCCTATTATATCATGAAGGCAGGTCTAATGGTTCACAAGATATAAATGAAAACGTTGATGAACAATGCCATAAATTACGTTCACAAGCACTTCAAAAGTAACAATTAAATCCATTAAAAAATCTCAACATCATAACGGGACAGGAATCTTTCTAACGTTTAAAAACTTTACAAAGGACAAACCCTTTTGCTGGTAAAAATAATAAACAATAACTGAGGGATAGGCTCCAGTTTATCGCTGACAGCATGTTGATATCAAACACGTGCTTTATATAAACAATAAACAACAAACCACGTGGTAGAATTATTTTGGGAGTTCAATCATCCGGGCATTTCAATTCGACACAAAAGGGGTTTTGTGACGTCTGTAAAAGGAGAATTAATGTTACTGTATCGAATCTGAGTGTATATGATTTTTTTTCAACTAAACCTTGCATTTACAAGATGATTGATGAATCATCCTACCTTTCTAGAGCCCAGTGTAGTCTGTCAACAATACATGTAGGACATCAGATTGGAAAGGGATATTTTGGGAGAAATTATATTTTCAATTTCAGTAAATGAAATTACAGTAAAATGGCCATTTCAATTATTGTAGTGTATTTTTGATCTGTTTTAATAATAAAATTGTTCTCTCAAACAAAATTTCAGATTTATTAGACAAAATCAATATTTTCAATGATATTGTATTCTAATGAATAAAAATACCAATGATTACTCCCTCATATCCCCTTGGCTGGCCAATGAAATCGTTAATGGCGAGAAAGTCACGTGACAAGTTATCGTGGCGTGCTAGCTGCTTCGAAAGGCAGCACTCTGCGGTGCGTCTTTGTCGGAAGCGGACGTTGTGATGGCCGTACGACCGTTAGTACGAGTCGTTTGTCAACGAAAACATCTCGAATGATTCCTTGTTAACCATTCTTGAAAATGACGATAATTCTCTTTCTAGTCGACACGAGTGCGTCGATGAATCAGCGTACATATTTGGGGACATCTTTGATTGACATTTCGAAAGCTTCCGTAGAGTCTTTCATGAAGGTAAATTGCGCAGATAAGGTCGGTTTTGTTTTCATTTATCTATTTAGATGCAACAATCGCGCATACTTTATTTTAATTGCCGCAATTTTTTGTTTAGATCAGGTCTAGAGATGCGAACAGCAGATGGGATAGATACATGCTGCTGACGTTAGAGGACCCGCCGTCTAATATAAAGGTAAATGGAAGATAATCCGGTGTATGGTACCAACGGTTCGTGTCGTTTAGGTGGAGCGAACTTCAACAAAACGAGGTGCCGTTGATAGAATCGCCCTAACTTTAGTTTCGCTGAATAAAACAAGAGGTTTGAAGAGCTGTACACTTCCTTCCATACACCGCCATTTTCTCCTTGATCTGAGGTTTATGTTGCATTGTGGGTAAATACCAGGCAACCTGGAGCTAATTTACATAAATAATGGGGGAACGTGAAGGGTAATCCAGAGCAGGAATATGAATGAAGGGTGTTGAGTGGTAAATAATGATATTTTAATCAGATTAATTCTAACATTTCATTCACATTAGAACTTCCATGCAGCAAAGAAAATTGTTTACTATCAAATGGAAATTAATAGAATGATATTGTGGATTATTATGTAATGATAAAATGCAATTGCAAAATGCATTTGACAAAATAATTAGCAGGGATGAAAGGGGATTAAAATGATAATTCTGATCACGATTCAACCAAGTTATTAAAAAATGTGACAACACCTCAACTAATTATTGTTTTATTATTTATTGTAAGTCATACTTGCTATATACACTTTCGATTTCTGTACAGTGTACTTAAAAAGATATATTTGCTTTGGGCAAAACATTGAAATATCAAGCGATGGACAATAACTCGCCACTATTTTGCCTTTTGAATCGGTCAATCTTTAGGTCACAGTTTAATTAAATACTTTCTCATATATATATATATATATGCAGTTTCACTGTTTGATCAGGAATTTTGTGAAAGGTATTGCCAATCAATTTGAATAATGAATAGTGTGAAGTATTTATCAAAGGATGGTTATTGTTTTTTCTGCTCGTGAGTGAAGTTAACGTTTTTATAATAGTGCAATTATTTATCATCTAAAGCTACCCTGACATACAAGAGAAACTCTGTCATATATTAAGAAATGTTAAATTTTACCTCAATTCTATATATATATAAAACAATTAACATCCTCATCAAATAAAACCTGAGACATATTTCCTAATCGTCTTAACTGATGATACTGACATCTATCTGTTAGTCATTAAATTTTAGTTAAAAATGCTAAAACAGAGGGAGAGTAGGTCCCAAGATCAGGAAATGAACTTAAGTCTAAACTTGTCTGAAGTTTTGACTTTGTCAATCACAAATAAGGTAGTGAAAAGTGACGTCATATGTGATTATAGCCAAACAAAAACTTAAGTCTTAGATTGTTTCCTGATCCGGGGGCCAGATCACTGCATAATAAATCAATAACTACTATAACTACAACTATACCGATAGTTACTCGGTGATAAATCTTCATGCAAGTCCTGGGTTCTGTACCCATAGAATTTTGATTTGACCGACAGAATTTCTGAAAATACTGAAATTTAACATGGTGGGACCCATATCGATCTTTTAACCATACAGTGGAAAAAGACCCCTACAAACTAATAGTAGATTTATCACTGGACTACAAAATAGGATATATTCTAATAAAGCCGACAGTTTCCATAATAATACCTGATCCTTTTCAAATTATTGACGAATTCCATGACCAAGAGATTTATACTATGGGTTCTAAAAATGTGGATGGGTCTCGCAAGATGGCATCATGAGTCCTGGACTCTTTATAATTTAAAATGAGACATGGAAATGTCCGTGTTTTTCAGTTATTTTGCTACTTTATGGTTGTCCTAGGTCATAACATTTTTAGGTCACCTGAGCATATTCTAATCGCTTTCCGTCCGTCGTGCCGAAACTTTTTACATTTTCAACTTCTTCTCAAGAACCAGTGGATGGATTTTTTTTCAAACTTGGTCAGAATCATCCTTTTTGGATGAGGCTACAAAATTGTAAAATTGGGATTCCCACCCCAACCCCTGGGGCCAGGGCGGGGCCCCAAAGGGAAAATTAACCAATATTTCAAAAATCTTCTTCTCCAGACTCGGACACTCATTTTCTCTGCATGGAAAGAAAGATCATCAGGGGCTTTACTTAAATTGTAAATTTCAGGACACCCGAGCTATCCGTTCTCCCTTGGGGAGGGGGGAAAGTTTACTATAGTTTATATAGGGAAATAACACTTTTGGGTATATTTTGACAACCTTTTGTAGGAAATTAATTTTACTTGGTGAAAATTATCCTTCGAGGTAGATGGTTTCAAATTGTAAAATTGAGATTCCTACCCCGACCCCTGGGGCCAGGGCGGGGCCCCAAAGGGAAAATTAATCAATATTTCAAAAATCTTCTTCTCCAGACTCAGAGGTACTACAGTGATTTTCTCTACGTGGAAAGAAAGATCATCAGGGGCTTTACTTAAATTGTAAATTTCAGGACCCCCGAGCTATCCGTTCTCCCTTGGGGAGGGGGTAAAGTTTACTATAGTTTATATAGGGAAATAACACTTTTGGGTATATTTTGACAACTTTCTGTAGGAAATTATTTTTACTTGGTGAGAATTATCCTTTGAGGAAGATGGTTTCAAATTGTAAAATTGAGATTCCTACCCCAACCCCTGGGGCCAGGGCGGGGCCCCAAAGGGAAAATTAACCAATATTTCCAAATTTTTCTCCTCCAGACTCAGAGGTACTACATTCATTTTCTCTGCATGGAAAGAAAATCATCAGGGGCTTTATTTAAATCGTAAATTTCAGAACCCCCGAGCTATCCATTCTCCCTTGGGGAGGGAGTAAAGTTAACTACAGTTTATATAGGGAAATAACACTTTCGGGTATACATTTTATCCATTTTCAGCAGAAAATTACTCAAACTTAGTCAGAATCATCTTTGGTGAATGAGAGTATTACTTAGTAAAATTGGGATTCCTGCCCCATCCCCAGGGGCTAGGGCGGGGACCCCCAGGGAACATTTACCAATATTTTCAAATTCTTTTCCTTTGATGACATGAGAAGTATTGTATTTCACTTAGTTTACATGCTGATTTCCACATCACATCTAAACAATAAAATAAAGCTACCAGTACCTATGATATAACTCAGGTGACCGCTAAGGCCCTTGGGCCTCTTGTTGGAATTTTTCAGCCGATGCATTTAAAGTCAGGAGATCTAATTTGTATTGGAACATAGTCATTTAATGGGAAAAAAACCCCACATTTACATGCCTATCCAGAGATTCCTGGGAGCAGTTTTGTGCTTAAATAGTAATTGATATATTTATTTTGAAAGAAAAACATCTTAAACAAACAACAAGATTCATAAATTGAATTTCAAATAACCCGACTCTGTTGTGTTTTTGCTATAAAACCTTTTCTGTTCTAGGCGGGATGGAAAGAAAGTCATGCAACATTTATTAATGAGCTGAAGAATCTCACTGCCATAGGTCTTTCATCACTTGGCCCCTCTCTGAAGCATGCCTTTGATCTACTCAACATCAACCGCATGCAAAGCGGCATTGATACATATGGTCAGGTAAGCATAGTCACATGACCCATGATAATGATCTTTTGATCAAGGGCCAATATGATACGTTGTCTTGGACAATTTGCACCCAAATGTAATCAGTGAATCAATTCAATGTCTGTAAACTGGTTCGATCATCTTAAAACTCCTAACCTGTTAAAGATCTGTTGCATTACTAACCATAAAAATACACAAACCAATTAATATACAACTTATATTATAAAGTGCTGTATCTGAAAAGTGAAATTATTATAATGATGAGTTCATCTGATGGGCCAATCATTTCAGATCAGATGATCTGTGTCTAGGAGGTAGTGGTATGCTGATGATCAAAAACATCAATTTTATCATGTTTGACATGGGGCGGATAGGATCAATGCTGATTAAGGATCAGTTTTCTATTTTTTTTTGCGACGAATCAAAGTTCAAAACTACATGTCACTGTTGTGTATAATAATCTTGAGTAGAAGTATCAAAGTGAAGCAAAGTAATTGTAGGAAAACTTCAAGATTTTTAGACTATAGCAATATTATTGCTGGGTCAGTAACATGTGTTTATAATGGCTAAAGTTACATTTTTAACTTACCCAGTATTTACCAGAATACCAGGTGAATTATTTAATTTGTGTGTTTATTATAGGGACGCTGTCCATTTTACCTGGAGCCAGCGGTCATCATTGTGATAACAGATGGTGGTAAATTGACCACCACAAATGGGGTGCAGCCTGAGGTAATTAAAAGGACAGAGTGAAACACAAATATTGTGTACAAGCCTCATTAGTTGACCAACATATATAAATGGTCTTTTTTATTGTTGGTACTTTATGAATGATAAAAGATGTAAATACCTTAAATCTGTAAATTTCCTTTAAATATTTAGATGAAAATGCATTTGCAAGCTCCAATTGGCTCCAACTTCTGGAGGAATACCGATTTTGAACTGTTTAGGGTAAATGATTCTTGTCTTTTCAAAATAAACATGAATTTATTAAATAATTTGATATTTTTATTTATTTTTATTTCAATTATCAGCTCAATCTTCCAATGCTGTCTACTGTTCCTGGGTCGGAGCTGACAAAAGAACCTTTCCGATGGGACCAGCGTATCTTTGGTTTGGTGCTAAAGATTCCGGGAAGTGTTCCAATGGACATGACAGGAAATATGTACATCCCCTCTGCAGACAGTCATCCCCTAGATGCGATGTGTGAGGTTACAGGAGGTGAGATTTGATAGGTCTATTTAAACGGCCTATCAACATTAGACACAACGTCAACACTAGGGAATCGGTTAACATTGATTTCATGATTGGTTGTTTAATATCAGTGACAACTGCTTAAGTTTCAATTTTCAATCTGTTGGTAAATATGTCAAACACGAAGAATTAAAGATGTTAATCGTTTCTATTGTTCAGTCGTCATTAGGCCAAGTAAAAATATACCTGTGTTTCCTGTGTCCGACCGACCCTGTTTTTTCATGCTGACCTTAATACATTTTATTGGTTTTTCCGGTCACTGTTATATGCATTTATAAGCCGTTTATTTTATTTGAAGATAGTAGCTAATATAAGTAGCCGTAGATAATTGTTGTTATGATATAGGTTGGGATCTGTAGATTAGTGTGACCATCTGTAGTCTAGGAGGGGGAGTCCAGTCTGTGATGTCAGTGTAAGCTGATACTGAACCCCCCCCCCCCCCCAGTCAAATCAAACAGGATAAATGTAAATTTTGTTAAATGTACTGATATGGATATAGAGGCCTGTAGTCTGTGTCCATAATGCATCGTATTAAATAAAGTCATGGCGATTTGAACCTAGTCGTTTAGGGGTCTCATCAACAATTTAAATGTAGCAGGATTTTGCTAAGGGACAGATAGTAAGGAAGTTAAGCTTGGGAGTCAAAGGAGGAGAAGAGAGAGTTGGGTTGGGGAGTTGAGTTAAAGAGTCCTGGGGAAGGAGGTTGAGCTAGGGAGACAAGAGTCGAGAGATATAAAGGAGAGCTAGAAAATTAGAGTTCAAGTGAGAATTAGGAAGTTATTAATAATAGTAGTTTTAGTTGAAGTTTATAAATCTGTGTAATTTTACAGTTTATAGTTGGACATAAGTTTGGAGTGGATAGATTGAGTTCAGAATAGAGAAGTCTTGTATATTTTATGACAGATTAAAAAGAAATTGTGTTGTAAATAGTGCAAATACAAATGTACTTTTTTGTTGTCCAATTAATTTGAACTGGTGGCAGTGGAAATTGAGAACAGAAACCATCAGTAATACAAAAGAGAATGTAACACTGGTGACCATCAGTGGAGTTTGGATTACTAAAAACTAGTGTCCAGCAGTAGGGGAAATACATATTTTTAACATTCACAGAGGTAATAGGGAGATTTCCTTCACCAGAAAACAAAATAAAATAAAAAGATAAAATAAAATGTTTTTCTACCTACCTACCATATTTTGTTTGGAGCCGAAACAGGAAACTTTCACACATAAATACATTTTTATTTGACCTTATCAATGATATATAAAACCTTAGTTTATTCTTATGGTCTGTTTTAATCAAATCTGCACATGCTTCCTGTGCTTTCAAAATCTTACATGATGTGCATTATGACAAGATGTGTGAAAGTTTGCCAATAAATGTAATTTATTCTTTTGCAAGTTCAAAATAGTTGTTTCACTGGTATTGGCTCTAATAGGTTAAAAATTAAAAAAAATGTGTTTCCCAATACATATTTAAAACAGATTTTAGATGTTAATTTTGTAGGAAAATTGTCTTTGTCAGACCCTGTAGACAATTAATTTAGACAGTTGAAGCTCTCATTTGTAAACATTTTAGACAGTCATTTTAGACACGTTCATGTTGTGTTACCCCTAACGCTACCTACCCTAGATTTCTGTGCCTACCCTTAGTTTTTATTGGCATTTAGTGATGGGCACTATTCAAATCAGAGCTTGTCGGCGTCGTAATAAAAGCTTTACAGAGCTATGTTTGTTGTTGATAATTGTACAAGACATTAAATAAAGCATAAGCATAGTAAAATATTTTGCAAAATAAAAAAATGTGCATCCTACCTACCCTATATTTTCTGAGGATGATGAAGAACATACAAGTAATTCTTTTGAACAGTTTTTGTGATTATAATTGTTATGTTTAGGACGGTCGTATGCTGTGTTCACTCAGAAGATGTTGAATGCAACGCTAGACAGTCTAGTACAGAAGGTCCAGAGCGGGGTGGTTATCAACTTTGAGAAAATTGGACCTGAACCTACACCAGTACTTATTGAAGGTTAGTACTTCATGGGCGAATTGGTCGAGTTGTTAACACTCCGGCCTTCCACGCAGGCGACTGGGGTCCGATCCTCGAAGTCGTTGTATGCATGGATAATCAGAGAAAGTGTTTTCTCCTGCCCAAACAACTCTAACAACCCAGGTGGAGTATAAATTGGTCTAGGTGGATATTGCAGTATCTGTGCTGTAACATTCAAGTGAGGTGGCGCTTTAAATGATGCCGTTGGAAGCAGGGTCCCATTACAAACAGAACACATTACATCCAGGACGCACGCAGGCATACCCACATAGGGAGATATTTACCAGGTGGCATAGGCCTAGTAGTTAGCGCCTGATAGGCAACTCTTGAGAATTTCCATTGATTTATGTGTATGCTAATTGTAATATTAATTGTATATCTATGTACTGTAAAGTGCTTTAGAGTGGCTTATATGTTAGCTAGATAGGGCACTATATCAAATGTTGTATATTATTATTATTACTACATTAGTACTTATATTTCTTAACATTTTTCAAAGTTTAATATCACTGTTTTATTAGTTTTTAGTTGAGTCTGGAGTTGAACTTTATGTATCATTCAGCAATATTGAAATGGCCCTGGCTGATTGTTTATATTTTATGTTCTTAATAAGAAAAACCTATTGTTTATTTTCTATGCAGGAAAAATGGAAAATGTTGACAACAATGGAAACTCGAAAGGTAGGTGTTCAACCTTAGTCCTAGTGTAACAACATTTCGCATATGGCTTGCTGGTTTGAAGTGCTGTCAAATTTGTTGAAATGAATGAACTTTTGGCCATGGTCACATAAGGTCACATGGATGAAACATTTCAAATTGTTAAGAGCTTTGCAAAATAACCTTGATGCATAGAGGAATATTTCTCCTGTTACTTGTCTGGATGGAATGATTTGACCAATTGTTTTCTTTAGTAATAATTTTGGTGAGTCCAATTTTAGCACCAAATAGTATTTTGATCAAGAGAATCAAGTTATATTGATGACATGCAAAATTCCAATGTAAGATATGAGAAAGACAAAAATATTGTCATCATTATGTATATACAGAGAACCAGGATGTCAACAAACCAATACAACAGGAAATGGAGGATGACAAGAAGGCAGTCCTGCAGCAAATCCAGCAACAGTTGCCAGGCAATAACCAATGGCAGAACTGTAGGAAGTTGATTTATGTCCCCAGGTCCGCACAAAAGGGTTACTCTGTGGGTCACTGGCCGATTCCTGAGGCCTACTGGCCAGACATTGGAAGTGCTACACTGGTAGGCTTAGAAATATTTGTCAACGATTTGCCTTTTCTAGAAATTATTTTGAAACTCTTTTGTATTACCTCCCAAACTTAATTAAAACCTGCATGATCCCATTTTTGAAAAATCTTTACATAAAAATAAGGACTTGATCATTTAAAAAAGAAAGTAAATTTTGTGATGTCTTTGTATACTGTAATTTTTTCCCAACTTACAGGAGGAAATTCCAAATGTACATAGAGGGAGGCTGTGTTTGTTTGAAAAAAATCAAACATCAACCCTGTAAAGCCTAAACCATTAAACCTTGGATTTATTTTCGTTTGACACCAACAATTGTATATAGTGTGTTTTTGTTTCAACAAGAATATGAAATTTTAGTCGATGAATGTTGTGATGGATGTTTTGTTGCAGCCTCCGCGGTCAGCCCAGCCTGTGTTGAAATTCTGCTGTACTGACTGTGAACCAATGGTGATAGAAAACCTCCCGTTTGATAAGTACGAGCTGGAACCTTCTCCACTGACCCAATTTATCCTTGAGCGCAGACTCCCAAACTCGTGTTGGCAGGTGAGGGCTCTTTTAGATATGTGATAGACTCCAATTGTTCTAAGTTTGATATTACTGTAAACCACGGTAGCTGAAAATATTTCCATGTTACACTGTAGGTAAGGGATCATTTCAGGTCAACCTTTTCACCACTGTAGACCATAATGGACTTACCCAGATATATGTGTGGTAGAGTCTACTGAAGTTATTTAGGGTAAAAGGGTTAAACTTTGGTAGGGCGATTGGATAAAATTTAATACCTGTGACAACATGTTCATTGATATTAGCCACTTAATTGTAATTGTACAATGTCACCTGTAGTGATGGCAATCAGATTAAAATCATAATTGATAATCAGATTTTAAACGAAAGCTGTAATCTGATTGATGATCAACTGCACCATAGTGTTAATATTTGATCGTACTGAATACCCGAATAAAGTGAGAACACTTCTATAACATCAATAGACAGATTATCACCTATACATTACGTTTCAGTCTTTTACTGTAAATGGATTTAAAGCAATGTTTATGTAGTTTTTGTCCAATCATAGAGTAAATCTTAAGAATATAACTGTTTATTGAATTTATCTAACGCTTTGATTTCAGTAATGAACCGATTATACCGACTATAGAATTAGTATTTGAATCGATAATCGGAAATGGAAAGGGCAAACTGGATGATTTTAGATTAAAATCGATCACTAGTCACGAGACACTTAACATTCAAAGAGATTATAAACTTGCTTTAGTACTGAACAGAAATATGACATTGTGTTAAAAGAGTCATGTTCACACAAACTTGATGAACAAATGGTTAATGTTGAACCATGAAAAAATTGTACCACATTAGTTTGTTATATTGTGTACAGTGTCTGACTTTTACCCGGTTAACATGTGTTGGACATTTTGATTTTTGTAGGTGTTCATCAGTAATAGTGCTAAGTACAGTGACACAGGACATCCATTTGGTTACCTTAAGGCCAGTAGTGCTCTCTCCTGTGTCAACCTCTTCATCATGCCATACAACTACCCCGTACTGCTGCCTCTCCTTGGTAAGTCTGAGTAGGGCAACAGGCGAAACAGGTAGGAATGGGGCCTAGAATTAGGGAATAAAGTTAAATATAACCTGGTACAGACGCCTCCCTCTCCTTGGTAAGTCTGAGGAGGGTGACAGGCAAAACAGGTAGGAATGGGGCCTTGAAGTGCAGTATAAAGTTAAAGCAAGATTACTCAATGATGCAGTTGCTGATAAGTCTGAACGGGGCTAAAATTGAAGGAATAGAGCCTAGAAGAAGGGGATGAAGCTTAACCAACATTTCCTGGTTAATATTCTTCTCATTGGTAAGTCTGACAGTGCTCCAGATAGCTTGCGTGAATGCATATTTATGCACGATAATTCACAAATTATGCAAAAGAAAAAGATAAAACTTGCTTAATTCATGCAAGCAAAATCCAGAACATTGCGTCAGTCTCCGGGTCCAGTTTAGCAGATTATAATACGCTTACAGTGAGTCACTGAGACGCTTGCATAGTACGCAAATCAATGCATCCTGTTACAAACACTAACATGAGCGAGAATATTTCAAACAATTGAATCATGGTGCTTTCAAAACAACAATGGCTATTTAAAATGGGGTTTGCAAGATGTTCTGATCCTACCGAACCTAGTAATGCAGATTTCATGAAAGAGATTTTGGAAAAAAGAGGTGTGGCAAAAAGCATCATAAATCATTATCGAAGCGGGCGACCGTTGATGGGTGGAAAATCCATTTCCCATTTGAACTTCTTTCAACATTTTCTGGTAACGTTGCTTTTACAGCATTTCATGGTTCAAAGTTTTAGTTTTCACCCCTCCACTTTGGAGAGGTAGGGGGAAAAAAAAAATGTTCAAAAATAATCTGGAGCACTGGTCTGAGCAAGGCCACAGGGCAAAGCAGGTAGGACCAGGGCCTAGATGTAGGGAGTCCATTACTTTGCCTCTTCTTCATAAGTCTTAAAGGAAAAACTGTACTGGTGTCAGTGTGAGAAGAGTTACAGATATTTTGGGTAGTAAAACAGGCAGGATTCTAGAGTTCAAACAAAATGAAATACCTTATTGGTAAATGACAAGGTTTAGGGTACATAGCAAAACTACACTTTAAAGTACCACAGCTAGAGGGATTCTGGGTAAAGTGTATAAGTGATGATTTAGATCTGGATGCAGTGGGTTGGCAGGTGCAGTTGTGGTAGGTACACTGTAGATGTATAGTAAGGGGAGACAATCCAGACTTGGTTTATGGAAGATATAATATATTAAGAAGGGAATATAGAAGTGAGGAAACGGGTTCTTCTCATTATGAAGTGGTTCAAGCAGGGGTTTAACAGTTGTATTCGTAATATCAGGGTTTGGTAGGAAGATAATCAGAGTTTGAGAGGTAGGATTATGGTCTTCATGGTGAGTTAGGAAGGGTGTGGTGCAGGGCTATATCAATCTTGTGATTAGATAGGGAGTGGGACTTAATATCCCACAGTGGGGGCACGCTTACTTCAACAGTGTTAGAGGTTTACACGGCGAGATACTGTTAACAGGCGCCGTGTCGCAGTCGGGAAAAATCATATCCGATAGAAAAAAGGTCGACAAGCAGCCTCTTATGTTATAGGAGAAGGGGCAGGCTATAAACTAAGTGTTAGTATGTAAAGGAGTGGCTTGGATTGGGGGTGTTGCTGTAGACCACAGATTGATTTTGAGTGAGTAAGGGACATATCCAGGTGAAATATGTGTCAAGTTTACTATCTCGGCATTGGTGAACTGAGTGCAGGAATCCAAAATATGCTTACCATGTAGAACAGTGTCTGCAAATTATCTTGACACCACTGATATTTGGGTGTCTGATCTGTTTTGTTCTATTTCATAGGTGATTTACTTGTGCTATATATTGGTACTATTTATTTCCATTATATATTTGTATTTTCATGATTATAGCAAACTGTATACACCAATGAAAATTTCCTGCAACCATTACTTTGGCTGTTGGCTGTTGTTGGCTAAATATTGCAAAACACTTTTAACATTAAGATAGGGCTAGGGGAAAATAACTAAATAACTAAAGCCATGGCTTTGTCTTCTCGATGCAGCCTCGATCAGACTTTACGGGGGAGACACTTCCTCCGACACCTTGCTTATCATGTGACGGCAGGAAGCCATCTCATGGAACAGTCGGCGGGAGACATCCACCAATCAAGTGAGGCCGTTCAGTCTCATTATGAATATTCAAATTTATATTTATAACGCAAAGAATATTGAAACGACACTCGTAGATTGTCTGTTAGTTTTACATTAAACACAATGTCCTGTTTGACATTAACTGTTAAATGTAAAAAAATATCTGCTGTTGTTTGCTGATAAAATGTCAACTTTTCTCTTTAGTTTTAAGTGAATGTTAACAATGGTAACTGTTTTCTTTTTTGATATTAAATCTTAATAATAAGAATTTTTAAAACATTCTGATGACACTGTTTCTGGGGGCCTCGGTAAACTAGTACAGAAACAGTTAATGTTGAAGTGTTCTCACAGGCCATTGTAGCCCAGCAGACTATTTTGCTTGAAACCTCCCCAATAAAAAGCAAGTTAACATTACAACCTGCAAGGACTGGATGTGTTTATTTTGTTCTAAATTTGTTGCAAGATGTTTTGAAAGGTTAACTAGAGTCAGCTGGGCCAGCATCTCATTGTGGGCTTTGTTATTTTCTGAAAGCTATTTGTGTTAAGAAATCTGTACCCTGTCCCTGTTGGTTATATGCTGTGGAGAACACTGCAACATTGCTTGGATTACAAATCAAAGAATTGATTCCTGAAGGCAAAAAACATTTTGATGCATATTGCATTGTAAGAAATGTACATGACACATGTCTGGACACACGAGACAAGGCTAGTCTAAGGATCATTGTATAACTAATAGGTTAATTCAAAGCAGGCCTATATGTCTGATTGATGTTTTTTAGAATTTAAATTTAAGGCAATTTAACTTACCTATTTTCCTCTGGACAGAGATAATGTCAGTGGCTTCATTTGTCGAATAGTCAGAGTGAAAATGATTGTAGTTCAAGATTTGTTGCACCTGAAGAGATTTTTTTTAAATTAACCTGTAATTGGTACCAACCATAAGGAATGAGTAGAATTTGATTAATAATGCCAAGTTGAATGAAGGTCTATAGTTACTCTTTGACCCCTGTACTTGCACAAACTCTCGTGTGACTGGCTCCTGTGGTGTAACATAATGTGTCATAAAAATGAAGGTGAGGCTTTTATCATGAATTTGGTGTTTAGTCCCATCCCTGAATTAAACCCAGGTTTTCAAGAGACCTTGTAAGCCATACCCTTATGTTCAGTAAAGAAGTGACAAATTCTACTTCAATTTTGAAGAGAGAACTTTTAAAGTGTCAACATCATCAACAATGTCCGATAAATTAAGTAATTACATGTATTTTTTTGGTTAAATTTCATTTATAATCATTGTTTAGTATTTCCTAGTGAATGTCCTCTGTGAAATATATTATTTTGGGTCAATTTGTAATACAAATTTCACATTCTAATTTACCATAATAATGTATCTTTTCTAAGGAAAATGAAGTTTTTGTAAATAAACTGGTCCAAATTCCAATAAAACATACTAAAGGACTGTTAAGATTTCTTAATCATTTAGGGTTCAGTTTACAGATTATACAAAATACATTGCTTAATGAAGTGAATTAGTAGATCTAAGTGGTTTGAAAATGTTAAGTGAACTTTCACTTTTTAAACAGTGATAACTTGCAATTCAAATTATAAGCGTTTATATATCGGTGAGTTTTTGTTGTGATTTTTGTACCATCTATCCTTAAATTGTAGCTGCAGTACCCAGTGTTGACTTGAAATATCTTCATCAGTACCATATCTAGCAGTCGTCTTTCATTGATCTGAAATATTGTATTTATTTTTGTCTTTCCAGATGAACTGTTTAAAGTCCACAAGCTGAAGATATGCCCCAAATGGCGACAGCAGTTTGAGGGGTATATTAAGACAATGCCACCGTATTATGCAGGGGTAAGTTCAACACTGAATTTTTATAACCCCCTGCAAAGGAAGTTTAGGGGTATATAGGGGATCACCCTATCTGTCCATCTGTCTGTCTGAACCTTTTAAGCACATCTCCAGCTAAACTGTTTCTTGACTTTTTTTTGGTCACTTGACACAGTGAAAATACATGTGTAAATGTGCATGAAGGAATGTATTTGCGATTCAACTTTTTCTCCTGGAGTTATGGCCCAGGAAACTTTTATTTTCTGCTCCAGAAATCTTGTAGGTGCAGCTCCTCCTTAACTGTTGGACTTTTTAGGTCACCTGAGCTTTAGCTCAAGTGACCTATTGCTATCCGTTTTTCGTCCGTCGTCGTCCGTCGTCCGTTAACATTTTACATTTCAAACTTAAAGTCAAGTTCTGCTGGGTCGATTGAACTGAAAGTTGGTAGGAATGATCGCCTCATGGTCCTGACAAAGTGTTGTTATTTTTCGGGTCAATCAGAAATACAATTTGGCTGCCATGGCCGCTATTTTGCTACTAAGTTCTAATAGGCCGATCTCACTTAAAATTGGTCTAGGAATGATCAGCTCATGGTCCTGACAAAGTTAAGTTAACATTATACTATTTTTTACTCAAATTGGTACATATTTCAACAACAAAAATAAATACTGTAGACTCAGGTGACCGTTAAGGCCCATGGGCCTCTTGTTTGTTTTTATTTGCACGGTGAATCACACAAACAGAGTTTATAATGATTAAAGAACTCTCAGTAAAATATTTCAATATATCATTTTCTAGGATTGCAGTATTAATACAAACTGAAATGAAAATGGTAAACATATACATGAGAGGACATCAATAAGGTATAAACAACCAATTTAGTAATATTTAGTCGGTACTTCATCAAAACTTAACGTTTTTGGGGATGCACCAAGGAATACCTAGATAAGATGGGGGGGATTTTAACTGGACGTGATGGTTCCCCCACTTTAATGGTAGATTTCTGTGTTTTTTCTAAAAACGAATATTTGTCGACAGCATTTTGTCTGTCCTCTCCATGAACATGCCTTATATGTTAGGAACAAACGATAAAATTATTGAATTGTGAATTTCATCAGTTCTGTGTTTGATAAACCAGTGTACCATGTGTTTGATAATACCATGTGTTTGATAATACCATGTGTTTGATAATACCATGTGTTTGATAATACCATGTGTTTGATACCGTGTGTTTGATAATATCGTGTGTTTGATAATACCATGTGTTTGATAATACCTTGTGTTTGATTTTGTGGCAGCCTTTGCGACGTGCGTTGGCTCGGATGGGAGCTCCCAACCTAGTGCCTGATACCATGGACAATAACCTCAGCTACACAGTCATTACCTACCTGAAAAAACTCAAAAACCAGGTAAATATAGCTCCAACAGTATTGATATCTCAATCTGTTGTTATACATCTATTGACAAGCAAGGCTATATACACCTGAGAATGTTTTCAACCACGATGCATGGGAGTGCAGGTAGGATTTTTAGGTAGATCTGAGTCATTAAAACACAATATGATATGTACATGGAATATATGAATTGCCCCTGCGAAATGATTATGAATAATTCATGAAACTTCATGAACAGTTCATGAAATATTCATGAATAATATTCATGAATGTTCTTGATTTGTTCATGAATATTTTCATGAAATTCATGAACTTAAAACTTCATGAATAATCTTGAGCAAAATATTTCATGAAAATTCATGAATATAAATTCATGAATATTCATGAATATAAATTCATGAATATTCATGAATATTCATGAATGTAAAATCATGAACTTTCATGAATATAAAATCATGAATATTCATGAATATATGAATTCATGAACATTCATGAAAAATGGCAACAATTCATGAATGTTCATGAATGTTCATGAAGAAAACGTCCCATTTTAAGTTCATGAATTGAAAATGCTTGAAATATTCATGAACATTCATGAACATGTACAAATTACCACATTTCATGAACTTTCATGAAAGTTCATGAAAGTCTAATACCATATGAAAATAAACAATGGAATTCCACTTGGATACCAGAGGAAATACCACTGGATTCCACCAGCAATTTGACCTGGAATTTGTGGCCAAATTGCCCAGTGGATTCCAGTGGTATTTCCACTGAAATACCTAGCCAGTGGTCACTGAAATTCAAATTGGAATCACTTATATGAAGATAACAATAATAATGGACATTCAATAGATTCTGAATTTACAGTTATGACGGTATATATAATCATTCATGCTGTGTTTAAAGTTAGAAATAATGCAAGTAACGTCACAAATATCTTTTAAACATGAAAAAATGACAGTTGAATAACATATATATTTGCAAAAGTTTTTACTGCTACATATTTAGCATTGTTAAATATGAAATATGGATGCATGGTTCACATATGGTCTGTGTGGTTTCAAGAATATGATACAGCTGACATTATTAGGTTAGAGTTGTAGAATACAGGTTTCCCAAAACTCTTGAAATTTATCTGTATTGTATATGCAAATACATGCTGGTTTCCTCGTTGTAGAACTTGCACACTTTTTACCCGGTCTACTTATTGCGAGTCTATCCATTCTCCATGTAACAATTGATGGTGTTTGAAGTTCGAAATGTTCGTCTTCTATTTCGTCTAAATCACTGAGTTTGTTCAAAGCTTTTTAAACAAATTTGGAATTAGGATCGGAAATAATAATTCCTTCACCATTAAGTTTTTGTTTTGTCAGTAACAAACACTTTATTTCCAATTGCAAGCTCCACACTGTACGTTCCAATTATTACTGTTGTCATTTTTCTTGGTAGAACTTCTTTTGCCTAAACTTTTATCTAAAAGATATTCTCTTTTGTTTTGCAAAATTATTCCTAGTATTTGCCATACCTCTTTGTATGTCTGCTTAATTGAGGTGTCACTGATAATACATTTTTAAAAAACCGTTGTTATTTTCCAAGAATATTTGGTGCAAGGGGAGATCTTTTTTTAAAATATTGCCAGTACGTGTCTGCCGCATCTTGCATGAGATTGCTGAAAAACTGTTGTGGTGCTTTAGGTATTCCTCTTTTATCCTTTTTCAATAGCAAATCTTTCGCTGTATATCTTGGGACATTTTACACATCACTGTCATCCTGCAGGCTGGTGTTATCTTCTTAGCTTGTACACATATGCTTTAATTATCATTTGAAGATCTTGCACTAAAGCTTACATCTTCAGGTTCTGGCTGCTAATAATACTGCCTGTTTGTGTCGATGTCAGCAAAGCATGACGACTCTGTATCTGGCACACTTCAAAACGATCCATCAAGCAATCGAATGCATCTCTGATGTCCGCGTCAGTAAATTTTAGGAGTAATCCCATTTTCTGAATAAGAAAAAAGTTAATAATTTTTCATTTATCTTATAAAATACTGTAGAAATTAGTATATAGGCCTACCTGTATTTTCAAGCCCCTGTACATCAACCTTATTTTTTTTGGGGGGGGGGCTTTGATATCACACAAGTGGGACAGTAATTTTTATTGAAATTATATATTATCTATCTGCAAATTTCATACAAGTTAAGAACTATCTCAAGAGGTGCATTCATACTGTAAACTTCAAATTCGGCAGGGTGGGATTGGGTGCACACGCACACACGTTTGGTAATTTGGACGCAGTAACCATTAGCACTCAGTAATATATTCAATTCTGTTTTCTAACGTATAATTTTCAGTATCGATATCATTGCTAAACCCGCACGGTAAATATGACCACGGAATTAGATTAGATTATATAAGTCCGTAATATGACGAATCAGATGAGTTGTTGCCAATGTAAACCGTTGTAACATCATGATCACAGACTGGTTTCACATAATTACACATAGTTTTAACATTTCATACAAGTATTTCATAAAATCCCAATCAGATTCTTACCTTCGGCTTCGATAACCTTCCTGCCGTCTTTCGAAAATTTCTCCATCTCCACTTTCTTCTGAAGCGTATTTGGCGCGGGATTAATTTCGTCCAATCAGAATAATTCCTCTATTCGCTCCGATCCTACCGGAAGTCAATTTATAAAAATATGGCATGGAATGACTTCGGTGCGAAAAAAGACCATGTAACTTTGTCTGTCGATAAACAGGCACACCAATCGATGAAAGGAAGATTAAAACACATATAAAAAGATACGGGCTTCATCTCAATGACGGCGATGCAAACAATGGATAGGAATTGGAGTTTGAACATTCGCCCGACAGCATGTCAACAACTCCAGTTTCCCCTGGATTTTCGCACACTAGGTAAGACTAAGGCCATCATACGTTGATTAAATTAACTTAAGGAGCAATGCCATGTTGTTTCCGTAGTTATTTCAATTAAAAGTTTTTGTAAAAAGTCCAGAGGTGTAGGCGTGTCGCTGTTTTGTGCCACTAAGTCACCGAATATTTCACAGGCGTTCGAAATTCTGACAGTAAATTGACAGACCTAACGTTAAATCTTATAAAGGAATATGGACGATTAAGTCAATTACTATCGATAGTAATACTGTTATCTTGAAATGATAAATATCTCAATTTACTGTCAGAATTTTAAATGCTTGTGATTATTTTCACCGCATGGCGACGGTAAAATCCTGGGTATAATCGAAGTCAAGTATCTCTTCGTTTTTGAGGATTATGTTGTATAATATTGTACCAATTGTGAACTAATACTTGTACTTTACATAACGAAAATATTAAAAAAAAATCCCTGTTCATGATCTATGATCTAAATAAAATGTTTAGATTATTATTTTTACTGCAACTGGCAGTTGGAATTATTCTGAGCAATGTTGACTGAAAATGTTTATGTCCAATGTTAATTACCAGTAAATATACTGTCAACTTACCAGCCATGCCAGTATTTACTGGTAAACATTGGACAACAATTTCTTTAGTAAATATTAATTGCGGCCCTGAGATAATTAGCTATCTTGTCAATTACCTCATATAGAACTCCCTGATCTCAAAGATCTCATCTCGCTTTCAGTTTATAAAAGTGTGAAGGTTCATGATCTTTCCTGTTCAGGTGTCCCGCTTTGTCGGTGACTAACTGATGTCATTAAACAAACTTCAAAATACACTAGTCTCAAATTTAGAAATGGCTTGACATCCTTGAACTACCCGACTATTTACTAAGGATGTTAAACATTGTAAACCAAGCTGGAAACAATTCTGAATTTGGTCTTCAATAAACAATAGTTCCATCCGCAATAAGCCCATGCCTGCAGGTAATAACACCCTCCCCCCAATATCATTATGAATTTCATTATTTTTTAATTCATTTCCCTATATATACATGTAGCGTGTAATATATATATGTCTGCAATTAGACCACCCAATATTTTACACTTGCTCCCTGGGCTTATTGAAGGATAAATATGGTAGATGATAATTAATTGGTAATTGGCGTGTTCAGTATATCATACAAATTATATATTTCAGATCAGATTCAGAGACAAGCTCTGATGATAAATTAAACCAAGATCTAGAGGATATGGCCAATTGGCATGAAGACCAGGGTTCAATATACTCAGAATCTGATCAGGAGATGACAGATCCTGAACAGGATGATTCAGAGGCCAACAGTGATTCCGAAGATGAGAACCAAAAGGAAATGAATTGTGACTGGTGTAGTTCTTATGACTTCACTGTATTCAACTCAGAATTAGCAGTCAACAAAATTCCTAATTCTGATACTATGACTAAACTTGAATGGCTGTGCTATCAGTTTCATAGGTTTGTGTCCCATCCATCAATGAGCAAAGCAGCGTTTACACAAAATCTTCAGGTGCAGAAAATAATACACAATGACAAAGACAATATACAAAACAATAATGAAAATAATGAACTGCCAGGATGACTTTTTACCAGCTGTGCCAATATCTCTGAATGTCCTTGCAAGTCTGGGACATATTGAGTCAGAATTTGAAAAATGCCATTACCATGCCCGTGTTAAAGGAGCATGCTGAAAAATCACTCTGCATTCATGTTTTTGAACTAGTTGACTGGAGACACTGTATTAGTTCATTGCAGTAGACTAGGAAAGAAGTTCATCTTAGTCCAAATAACACCAAATCTCACATTCATAAGTGTTAAACACTTGAACATAACTGACTTAACATAGTCATATTTTGTATAAACTCATGTACGTTAATAGCTAGCCTACAATTGTCTTTGTAAAGGGTAATATATCTATTAAAAAATTGTTAAACTGATGTATTGTTCCATTTTTTCTAGTTAATACCACTTCATGCAAAATGTATTTCAGATCTCATCACCTCTGCATGGATTGTCAGAGGAGTTATAGTTCCATTGGAATTAATATTCCAGTAGAAATATAATTCCAGTGATTTTTTTCCAGTGGAATTCTACTTGTATTTTTTTGCTTCACTGGAATTCCACAGGATTTTTGTTTTCTTCTCTGGAATTCCAGTGGTATTCCACTGAAATATTTCATTCCAGTGGAATCTCACTGAAATTCCAGTGTTATTTTCAATGGGTATATATATATATATATATATAAGGAGGTGAGAAGCATGTGATTTGTAGTCTGTGACCTTAACAACTGACTGAGCCACCGCTGCTCCCAGTAATTACAGTGCTTCCCAAAGTCAATAAAATCAATACAGATGGAACTCCATAATATAATTTATGTATACTTCCTGCAAAATTGGCAATTATATTTATATATTATATATATTTACATTATTATATACATTCATGCAAAATGGACATGGAGTTGAAATAACCACAAGAAAAAAAATGGTTTCTGAGGATACTGAGTTTTCTCATCATTCATAATTTCATGAATAATAGTGAATTTTGTGTATTTGAAATATTCATCAAAGTTCATGATTTCTGCTCAGTCAATCTTTAAGAAATTTTGATGAATTTTAATGAATTTGCATTATTCATTTAAATTCATCAAAGTTCATGATTTCTCAAGGATATGCCTTTCATGAATTCTGATGAATTTTAATGAATTTTTGCTGTGCATAAAAGTCCATGAATAATTCATAATCACAAACTTCATGCAGATTCATGCATTTTTATGAATTTATTAATTATTCATAAAAGTTCATGAAGAATGCATGAAAGCAGGTTGATGAATATTCATGAATAAGTATTCATGAATTTCAAACTGTCTGTATTCATGAATGTTCATGAATTGTTCATGACCATTCATGATTTCATGAATACCCTCTCGCAGGGGTAACTACAAAAGGCAGTGTTCAGTGTTCTCATTAAAAGCCGATTTCCTCCAAAAGTAGCCTGCTGTTCATCAACTCTCAACTGGTTATTTGTTCAAAATAGATGTAGGCAACATCTTAGCATGAGAACATTCAACTGGCTATTCTTTTAAAGTCAACTGCCTATTTCAGAACTTTTTCAGAAAACTGGTGTCTCCTTAATATGCTTTAAATATTGGCTATACTCGAGAGTGTGTAAAAAGAGCTGATAATCCAGAAATATGAAATTCTTTTTCTGTAGGCCAAGGTAGAGATGGACCGCTTAATTGCCTCTGTTGGCCAGAAAGTTCCCCTCAATGACGGAATCAAGGTTGACTCGCGGTAAGGCATCTTATATCATTGGTCCATATTTATAAAACTATAGGAAGAATTTGTGTGCACACTATTACATGGTTTTCTCTCCATGACATCTTGTGTACATGTTTTATTGCATTGATAAAACAATATTAAACGATTACGTTGAAATTGTGGAGACCTTGAAACATGTGAAATGAAAAACATTAAAATGTAATTTATTGTATAACATTAAAACATTATTGATACAATTGTTTGCTGATAAGTTTGATCTTGAGTAATTTATATTATATGCTGTACTAATATATTTATTGTTCCATGGACGAGTTGGAGTTTCATGTTTACTCACGAAAAAGTCTTTTCTGTTTGCAGGACCAAGACTTCAATTTTACAAAGAAAAGATTTTAACCAATTACTGCAAAATGTTGGGGGAAATATTCAGAGCCTGAAACAAGAACTGACCGATTTCAACACCTTCACTATGGCTGTCTCTGACCCAGACATCCTTCCCCAGTATTACCGTAACCCATACGACATTCCACGTTCACATTTACTTGACCAAATCTCCCGTATGAAAATGAATTTCTTACAGAAATCATACAGCAATACAAAGCTAGTAGATCATGGTAAGGATGACACTGTTGGCTTTGGTCACTCAACCAAATCTCTGTTGTGTAATTATTTAAATCTTTAGTGGAAAGTTTATATTCTATGTTAGATGAATTTTGATGAAATATTTAAAATAACATGCTGTAAATTTTATGTTTTGCAAAACTATTTTGGCATAAATGTGTATTTTACAATCAGTTCTCATTCAGAAAATTTAACATAATAGAGAAATAAAGGAACCTCCACACCACAAGGACCTGTTGTGTGATTTACTGTCTACATGTTTCGGCCTGCTATGCGGCAATCATCAGGACAATAGCAGGCCGAAACATGTAGACAGTTAATAACACAAAATGTCCTTATGGTGTGGAGATTCCTTTATTTCTTTTTAGCTCACCTGGTCAGAAGGACAAAGGTGAGCTTATGCCGTACCATGGAGTCTGTCTGTCAACAATTTTTTCAAACGACTTCTTCTTCTTAACCATTGATCGGAATTTGACTAAATTTGACTGGAAGCATCCCTAGAAAGTGGGGATTCAAACCTGTACAAATGGTTGGGCTGACCCCCCAGGGGGCTGAGGGGTGGGGCTAAAAGGGGGCAATTTGGCTATATTGCTTTAAGCGACTACCATGTACTTCTTTTCTGGAACTAAGAGATTGATATAAACCATATTTGACTGGAAGCATTACTTGGAAATGGTTGAGATCCCCACCTTTAACCATATATACAATTGCTGAGTATAAAGAGAAGAATGCACATATGCTTTCAGGATGGCCCCAGGGTCTGGCTCCACCCTTGGTGACTTTAACCCCTGGGTCATAACTTTAAAACAGTTGAGATCCCAACCCCAAAACTATATATACAATTGTTGGGCATAAAGAGACAAATGCTGAAATGATATTAGAATTGACCCCGGGATCTGCCTCACCCTTGCAAACTTAACCCCTAGGTCATAACTTTGGAATGGTTGAGATCCCCACCCCAAAACTATATATACAATTGTTAGGGATAAAGAGACAAATGCTGTCATGATATTAGAATTGACCCCGGGATCTGCCCCGACCTTGCAAACTTAACCCTTGGGTCATAACTTTGAAACAGTTGAGATCCCCACCCCAAAACTATGTATACAAATGCTTGGCATAAAGAGATGAATGTTGCCATAATATTAGAATTGACCCTGGAGCTTGGAAACAGTTGAGATGCCCACCCCATAACCATACATAAACTTGCTTGGCATGAACAATCTAATACAGATATGCTAAAAGGTTTGGCCTTAGGGTCTGGCCCATTCCCTTGGATCTTATAAGGAGAATATTTTGCCATTATTGCTTAGATATCCAGGTGAGTGATACAGGCCCTCTTGTAGTAAGGAGCTCTATAAAATCCACTCACGGATCCACACTAGGACACTAGTAGGAGTGTTGGATCCCCTATTATTTATAATGTATAACATATAACAACATACAGGTTGATTGAAATCAGACATTTTGGATTGTTTCATCACTGTCTTTGTGTTCTTGTATTTTTAGATCAGATGCATAATGTTCCTATACAACAAATGGGTAACTACCAAGATTACCTTAAAAAGCAACCACCTTTACTCCGGGAGCTGGAAAACCAGCCATCACGGGTGCACATGTTTGGAAATCCATTTAAAGTCAAGGTACAGTGTTCTTCTTTCCGACATATTTAAAGACTATCATTATATTATTATTGTAAAAGTGCATGTTATATAGGGAAAATGGACATTTCGATGTTTTGGGGAAATTCATCTTTTCAGTGTGATAATGGGATAATTAAAAATTTGACTCTGATTTCCTGGCCCCAGATGAGATTGAAAAACCTTTATTTGGCCTTTAACGACAGTGGTGACCTTAATCTTACTCCAGTAAGTTTTGAATAGTGACCTGATGGAACACTGATGTTGACAGGACGGTCAAAGGGAGACAATCCCATTGTGTCCTCTTCTCCGTCCTTGTACTACAGACCTAGGCCTATGGACTTTGTAACAGTTTTCAATATTTGAATTATTTTCCTATGCCATTTTTATTTTTTCACAAATGAATTCTTGATTTATTTTTTGTTAATGATGGTAGCCTAAAGTTATCTTTAAACTGTTAGTTTTTCTTGACATTCGTAGAATTTCAATATGGTGGATGAGGCAGATGAAGCTAATTTTGGTCAGCAGCCGGTGAAAAAGCGACATCATGAAAGTCCATCAGTTTCCCCAGGACCAAAGCGACGGAAAGCAGGTACTTGATCGAATATCTTTCACACCTGTGTGGGTTTGTTGGTATTTTGCAGTGAAACTGTCAGATCTTTAATAACATTCATCATCTTCTGATTATCATATTTTTCAGTTGTTTTCCAAAAGTGATTTTCATTTGAACCCATGAACTCCATATGCTGATATTATTCTTTAAATCATTTGTTTTTCTACCAGTTATTGGCTTGCCTATAGTTCTCAGCAATGAAATAAGGCTGACATGTAGACTTCCAGGTGTTGTTCTTACAATTCTTTATGCTGATAAATTCTGATAAGATATTTATCAACTATGAAAACAACTTGAATTTAAGTTCCATTACCAATGGATATAATTAACGATTCATGTATTTTCAGGGCCCTTACCCAGAGACCTTAAGTATCGACGACCAAGTTCCCCGTCCCCAGGGACAACACCCCCCGCCTCCCCTGCACCCGCATCCTCCGATACAGAAGACAGTTCCATGTCAGACACGGAGAGCATGGAGAGTAAGTATCTAACACCATATTCTACAAATTCAAAATCCACCTAACCTAGGCTTAATGTAAAAATATATATAGTCCCAGCACTGTCCAACGAAGAGAAGTTCAAAATCCACCCAACCTAGGCTTAATGTAAAAATATATATAGTCCCAGCACTGTCCAACGAAGAGAAGTTCAAAATCCACACAAACCTAGGCTTAATGTAAAAATATATATAGTCCCAGCACTGTCCAAGGAAGAGAAGTTAAAAATCCACCTAACCTAGGCTTAATGTAAAAATATATATAGTCCCAGCAGTGTCCAAGGAAGAAAAGTTCAAAATCCACCCAACCTAGGCTTAATGTAAAAATATATATAGTCCCAGCACTGTCCAATGTATAGAAGTTCAAAATCCACCCAACCTAGGCTTAATGTAAAATATATATAGGCCCAGCACTGGCCAAGGAAGAGAAGTTCAAAATCCACCAAACCTAGGCTTAATGTAAAAATATACATAGTCCCAGCACTGTCCAATGTATAGAAGTTCAAAATCCACCCAACCTAGGCTAAATGTAAAAATATATATAGTCCCAGCCCTGTCCAATGTAGAGAAGTTCAAAATCCATCCAACCTAGGCTTAATGTAAAAATATATATAGTCCCAGCACTGTCCAATGTAGAGAAGTTCAAAATCCACCCAACCTAGGCTTAATGTAAAAATATATATAGTTCCAGCACTGTCCAAGGAAGAGAAGCTCAAAATTGTTTGAGCTGCTTGCTCATACACTTCTGTATCATTTGAAGAAGTTGCCTTTTGACTTTAAACAGTAAAGTTAAATGAATTGCAATAAAGAACATAACGGAAAATGTGGAAGGAATGTAGAAATTTAAGAGGGATCAAGTAGAGAATCCAGGGCTAGACATTAGTTATTAGAAGTATTCGCCCAACAAGGCAAGTTGAAGTCAAATTTCCTTCCCAAATCAACTCTTAACTTGCCCGAAAACAAATGGAAAAAAGAAAAAGTTAAAAAATTGAAGACTCTGACATTCATGGGAATAAAAGACCATCAGTTGGTTTGTTGGCATCAAAGATTATTTAAATTGTCCATGAGAAAGAAGCCTCCTCCCCCCCCCCCCCAAAAAAACCCCCCCCCCCCCCCCCCCAAAAAAAACCCCCCAACCCAACCCCAACAAGTTGCCATATTTCTCAGAGACAGAGTGCTCGGGGAAATAGTCAAGGTATGGGATTCAAAACACAAGGTTTAACTTACACCTGTCCATGTTAAGGGAATTAACTATCTCACAATGCAACTGGCAATAGATGATTTTTCTCACACCTGTAATTAGCAAAAATAAACGTAATTTCATTTTGGTCACAGTGGGTGAAACATGGAGTTGCTGGTTGTCTGTTACAGGTGTGAAAATATTTTATGTTTGAAATCTTCTGAAAAAAACATTTTATATAAATCTACTAATATTGAAATCTTAATAATAAAATTACTGTCACAGATTTGGGTTTAATCGACACGATTTTCATGTATTTCATTATTTTCTTCTTTCAGCGGAATCTGTTGCAAGCGAAGATGAAAATTTGTCGGAGGAGGAATCTCCTCTAGTGATAGCTGAAAATATTGAACAAGAAAAAGTGACCAATCACGTGACTGAAAACAGTGTAAATCATTCAAATGTGAATTCTCAGAGTGTTCTAAAAAACAATGTCTCGGAGGTGGAGAGTGTGCGTGATCGTTCACATGGACATGAAATCAGCAGCAAGAAGGAGGCACTAATGTGGTCTCACAATACACGACTACGTCACACACTGTTTAAGGAAATCAAACGCCCGGGGCGCAGTAAGTAGCCTGTAAATTACATACATTGTTTTATACTGTAAACATTCTTGAAATATGAATCCCACAATATCTTTTTGATAGAGAATTTGACTGGACGTGGTTCTCATTTTAAACAGATTTTAATCATTTGTAGAATGGTTGTACATCACCACCAGTAAGTTTGACATTTTCATAACTAGTACAATATGTACCCTATCACCTAAACATTTTATTTAAAATGATTTTCAATATTGAACTTTTCAGATTACGACACTTTATTTAATCATCTGAACACTGTGCAAGGAACTCTGGACATGAAAAGTGCATTTGTGCGTGATGTGATACGGGAGGCGGGACGTTTTAAGAAAAAGGTGCTAATCCAGATGTTAGAACAGTATAGTAAATCCTTAATCCAGTCAGAAAGCCGTAAACGGACTCACATTTCTACCGGACAGTGGAATTCTGGTAGATAATGTTAAATGTAGACGGGGAACAAACTTATCCCACGATGGGTGCTCATCAAAACCATCCTACAACAAGTCACTACAACTCCAATCCCTAGCCAGCTGGATTTGACTACAGTATTCAGCATAATTCTTAATATGGCCGGTCGCCAAAATGTAAACGCTTATATGTTCAAAATAAGCATAGATCTTGAGACAGTCCTAATGAAATAAAGCTATTTTTTTTTTTTCAAGCCAACAAACTAGAAGTTTGTATTGAACTGCCAACATGGCTGAATATTTTAGCATCTCTATGGTTGAAGGTTGGCAGATAGAGTGCGATACTTTTAGGAGTCTGTCACCTTACCACCGATCATCCTGTAAAATTGTAGTGAATTTGTCCAGATGTCAGTTTTGTTTACCGTCTACATAGAAAATGGTGATGTCATCCCACCAGATGTGAACTCTAAGAGGAGGTTCCCCAAAGGAAGAAACAACTAGAATTGATCAAAGATATGTCGTCCCCTTAAGGTCGGCCTTTGCGTCTGTGATATTTCCTTCATGTTCATTTATTTCTGTGTCATCCATATGCATTTCACTGAACACTGCAATGTCATTCATTTCACTGTGGACTGTAGTGTCATCCATTTTGATGTTTACAGTTGCGTTGTTAACGTATGTGAGCGTTAAACCATGTTTGATGACTGTTCAAGCTGTGGACCTTTATGTTCTTTAACGTGTAGTTGATAAAATGAGATTGAATATACATACTAAGAGAATGTGTGTTTACTACATTAAGACTATACAGAGAAGATTGAATATACATACTAAGAGAATGTGTGTTTACTACATTAAGACTATACAGAGAAGATTATTAAAATGAAAAGCCTCGGACAGAGGAAATTCTCAAGACAGTAAACCTATTTATTTTAGTGGTAGGCATATTTGAGCTCTGTTTCACAATTACTCTAAAAACCTAAATTATGTTCACAATTAAGTGACTGAATTCCTGAATGTTACAGGTTTTTGTGCTTCGTCATAATTTGTTTAACTTGTTAATTGTAGTTAAAGATTGGAAATATGATTGACCTGGTATACTGCTCCAATTTCAGTGTGTAATTGATGTCATGAAAAATTCTTTCTTGTCTCATCCCGACCCGAAGTTTTACTTTACAGTTAAGGATCCCCGTACCACTGTTAAAAACAGTTACTTCACATTTGAAGCTGTTTTTTTCAGGCACGAATATAGTTTTGACAAATTGTTTCTAAATAGAAAATCACACCTTTAAGGACTTAATGGGGAAAAAAATACGAAAAAAAAGATATAATTTACAATAATGTTCTCAGTTAGGCCAGACCAGGATTCTAACTCGGGACCCCAGATCGGCATTGTGTCGCTCTGAAAAACAAAGCTACCTAGTCAGTGAAAGTGCCTTGGTCTAAAACAAAGTCAATGGGAAGTTACTCTTTATATGATAACTGCAGTTTGGCCTGTGATGGGATCAGGTTGCTATACACCGGCCATGTTTGTTTATGTGGACAAAATAATCTTTTGGTTTTAAAATTAATACCAGGGTATTTCTGGGTTAAAACCCCAGAACCTGCAAATGTTAATGAATGCCTTGAAAGTCTTTCCCAAGGCTTGCCAGAAAACAACATAAAATCACTAGGTCCATCCCTATTCTATAAACGAACAACGCTTGTCTAACTACATAGAATGGGATAAATAAAGGCAGCCCATATTGTTGCTTCAGAAATACAAAATGCCATATTTCTTTGTAATACAAGTTTTCCTTTTATCATTGATATGCCTCAAATTGAAAATAAACAAAAAATGGATTGAAAAATGATTTTTTTTTAAAATGCATTGGAACAAAGAATTACAAGAAAATCTTGATTGGAATTTTGTCATTGAAATACATCCCAATAATCCTTCATTAACTTCGGTACAGAGTACAGTCGTTTGGCATAGAGTATTCTCCCTTGTATAGTGTTTCTGGCATTGAGACAGTTACTTCCCTTTGCAAGGTATTCCTTTTCCATTTTGATGCTGTAAAGCAATCACATTTCCTATATACTGTAACAACTTCGGTTTAATATTTTACCGGTGAGATCAGGAGTGGAAAGGTTATGAATTTTAGGCATGCAAGTTGTTTTTCTATCATGTTTGTTGTATGTTTGTTTCCAAATACTCAAATTTCAAGCAACTGCAATACTTAACAATATGTGTTTCATATTTAATACATTTGATGGAAATGACTAAACCAAATATTTGTTCATAGTGCAAATGATAATAATGTAGTTCAAATTGATGGTGCTTTTCCTTTTATAGAAAAGTTAAGGATGTATGCTACCTTACATTATTTCAGTGTTATTCGTGTTCTTACTGCTTGCTTTAACAGTTTAATAAGCAAAATATAGATAAAAAGGGATACCCGCAGGGATCAATGCAGCAAGTACTTTGTCACATTTGAAACTGTCACTTATTGATTTCAAGGTCAAGATTTACAAATCCTATAAAATATGCAAAACTTTGTGTGCATATATTTGTACGGTAGCATATATCATCCAATGAAATTTTAAAAACAGGTAACTATTGAAATGTATGAAAATTTGTATATTCTCATATTTATGTATTTTGGAAAAATATTCTCGATAAAAAAGAAGGATTTCATGCTGACTGGTGAATTTTTTGACGTAAATTATTTGCATTGTATTTTTCTTAAACAGAAACTGTCTATCCTCTCTAGATCTCTCTATTGCTGCAGTTTCTTCATGCCTCTTACATTTAAGGATGTTTTACAATGGCCCACAGTAAGAAAGTTACAATTTGTCTTTGTATTTATACCAAATAATCAAATACTTACTGGTCAATTTTTTATGCCCCTGCAATCCTAAAAAATAACTTAACCCCCCCATAAAATAGGGGACATGAGTGGGTTGTGTAGGTAGGTATATAGCATATAGCAAATTCCTTCTTTGACAGATTTTCATCAAACTTAATAAAAATGTCAAAAGTATGCAAATACTTTGGATGAGCTCTGTTTTAGGATTTCCAAGGTCACCATTGCTATTTATAGAAAATCATCAACCAATTCAGTGTCATCAGTGAACCAACTTTATGTCCTGATGGATTTTGATCAAATTTTATATGAATGTCAAGTATTATAATACCTCTGACATCTGTTTTATCAACATGAAGTATGATATTACCTAGAATTGGATCATAATTCAGGGTGTCAAGATCAAAGTCTTTGTAACTATTTATTCAACATTATCAAACTAATTTTACATGGCGCTGGGGCATTCATGTCTTACAGACATTTTCTAGTCTTTTCACGATTTCATAAAAGTTTGAAATTTTTCACACAATCTAGTGCAGTATTAGGTAAAAGTATTTTTTTTTAAAAACTCATTTTATGTTTTGAAAGTAAAGTGATACGATTAATTGTAAACTTTGATGGGGAGTATTTGAAATTTTCATCCAGGTTTGAAAAAAGAAAAGAATCCACACTAATTTTCCACGCATTTGATATTATTTTTTTCAAAAGTCCTTATGCCTTCAATTAACCTGTATAAATGTGTTTGATAACAATGATATATTTCAATACAAATATTTTGGAAATTGGGAAGCAAGTGTCTGTTTGGGTGTGAACTGTTCAGACAGTACTGTACTGTTTTGTTGCTATTTACTAGTAAGGGAGGCTGATCTGACATCAAAATATCTAGAGCACCACGCTCTCTCCCAACACTGGGGTTCCACACACATGGCTCCCCACATTAAGGATAGTCATACTTTTTTTATTATAGTAACGTGTTGGTTCCCGTATTGGGTAGGAAACATTCCTCAGAGGTGTTTGAATTTATAAAAAGACGTCCTAGAAATTCTTTGGGTTACGATCACTTCCGTTCTCTGCACTACAGGAAAATGTCGCTCCGTTACCTTTAGTTACGCTGCTGCGCAAATCTTTTTCTTGTATCATCCTCAAGGCAGAGCGTTCGTTTTGTCACGACATCTCCCAGGGGTATAAAGAGAGTATGAGAGCGTAACCTTTAGAAGGTATAAGATGCTGATATGAAGGTTGTAAAAATAAGGACAAGACGCATGGACAGAGACCAAATACTACTAGGAATGATATAGCCACTAGTCCATTAGGTATTTGTCGATGCGTCTCGTTCCTGTGATAAATTAGTACATTGCTGACACTTACCATTCTCATCTTCATACTCATATCGCTCATATTCTTAACATTTGTATCGTTTACAAATCAACAATTTTTCATGTATTAAATTTGACTAAAAACCTGGTTTGTTATTTTGTGTTGGTGTAATTTGTTTCAGCGATGAACCTCCCCC